ACAGGCTCACTGGGAGAAAGGTGAGCCTGCACGGAACCATGCGGTTTATTCATTCATCCCCTTTTCGCATCTGCTAAACGCTAACCAATCAGCGTCGACTGCGATAAATAAACTGTCAACTGTCAAATTGACGCAAGGCGTGTACATTGTGCAACATGAACAATAATAATACAAAGCATTAGCGGGCCGCACAATATATTACTCGGAAAATATAGAATTCTTCAAATATTAAATAGATATCAATACACATACAAATATAAAGCCGAATAAACTACCATTGGCTTTGAATGTACAGTAATACTTGTACTATGTGCGACTGAAAGAACAATGTTCTGAATATTTTGAAGCTATTACTAAAATACGGTCAGATAGATTGGGATTTGGAATACCGAATACGTTTAAAATTTTACTAACTGTGGTCTAAATAAATGATAAATGAGCATGTATTTATTAATTTCTTCCAAATCACGAGTGTGCCAATAGTGGAAGCCGTATCGACGACGAAATTGTCAGCAGTTAATATACAGTAAACAGTACAACGTTTAATGTACGATATATATTTATCTAAATGACATGCCAGCGAGGATCGACAATATAATTATTCGTACATATTTGGGTATCTTTTGTATGCCTTCGCTTGCTGACTTGCTCACTAATGAGAATAATCCGTGAAGCCACGACGACCTCAAAACGTACTATACTATAGTCTGATGTCAATCCGAAGACGAAGTTCAGAATACTGTTATAGTTTCGTATATTGGATTTAAGCGATAGATTCAAGTCATTTATGATAGACTTTTTTGCTGTGATGCTTTGCTATTGCTTTTGGTTTCCATTTCTAGTTTTATTTGTTCGATAGTCCTATAATATATAATATTAAAATGATAAAGTTCAAATTCTTCAAAATGCTGTTGTTGACATTTGCTATTTTTAGTAATTTTGTCAACGAGTGTAAGCCAATCAGAAGCCTGCGTTTCTATACGAACGCCACTACCAAGAAAACCTATCATCCGTGCAGGCCCTCTATTCTTCGCGCCGCCCGCAACCCAGGGCCTGTTCGCAGGCTATCTTAGCTGCATATAATTCGCGAACCGGAAACAGACTGGTGAAGAATAGTGTGCTGCCTTCGGCAGCAATTAAGTCAGTTTTTGCTCCAATTATCGTTTTAATGCAATAATGACACCTTCAAGGCTACCCCTATTGCAAAACAACTGAACAATCTGCTGATGCTTGATGGAGAGAGTTTCAGCCCAGGCTGACATTTCGGCCTGGTTTGAGCTGCCAAGGCTGAAATTTCAGCCCGGGCTGAAAAAACAACCGTTTAAATGGCTTTATTTTGCATGTTTGTTTCATCTTTAAATACTTTACATATAACCACAGTCTCACACTGCGTGTTTGTTTCATCTTTAAATACTTTACATATAACCACAGTCTCACACTGCGTGTTTGTTTCATCTTTAAATACTTTACATATAACCACAGTCTCACACAAGTCAAATAGTCAACTAATCGGCATCTGATTGCTTCAAAGAAGCAATTTAACAGGCTTATTGTCCTATTTTGTGACACTCAGATTATTTCACTCAGCCCGGTCTGACATTTCAGCCCAGGTTGACTATAAACATAGCTCTGACTAAACTCAGTCCGGGCTCAAACTGCTCATGTAATTGTGATGCAATTTCAGCTCATTTTAATAACCCGGCTGAAACTCAGCCCGGGCTGAAAACTCTCCATGTAATCAGCCCCTAAGATTGTACTCAGTCAGAACTGCAAAACTATATAATACGATTGTGAGCATTATCAAAAAATATAGCATACTCTATCTCTGAGTACTGTAGTGACAGCCAGGTGAATATATAAATGTAGGATTGTAGGCTGGTAGGATTATTTCATATTATGCTATTAAACAATGGACATATCTCAGAATTAATTCATTCTAATAAATAATTAATTCGTTTGATTGTATTTCACTAGTCGAAAGTTGGTTAAGCGATGCTAGTGTCGTGAATTTACCAGGTTTTTATTCTTTTTCAAAATTGAGGCAAAAATCTGAAAGAGCTAATAGGAATTCAGGCGGTATTACCGTGTTGATAAAATCCGAGCTAAGAAAAGGGGTTAAGTTTTTGGAAAAGGAAAGTAGTGAGGAGTTTGTATGGTGGAAATTGGAGAAAGATTTCTTTCATACGAAGCAAGATTTGTATGTTTGCAGTGTATATATTCCTCCACAGAACTCTTCTAGAGAACAGAGATTAGACTGTGACCATTTTGAGTTATTACAAGAAAATATTTATAAGTTTTCAAAATCAGGAAACATTATTTTATGTGGAGATTTCAATGCCAGATTAGGTACTTTAGACGACTATGTGCATGAAATGGAAGGGGTAACCTTTCCAACGACAGTTCTTACTGGCTCAATTGAACCACGTAAGTCAAGGGACATTCATATTAATACGTATGGAAAATCATTAGCTGAGTTATGTTGTGGGAATGAGTTAATTATTTTAAACGGCAGGACGAAAGGAGATTATATAGGTCAGTTTACCTGTCACACATATAGTGGGGCTAGTGTGGTCGACTATACTGTGGTATCGTCAGAGATTTTGCAATCAATCAAGCATTTTACCGTGTCAAGTATCACAGAATTCTCGCATCATTGCTTCCTTTCTTTTGCATTAGAAGCGGAGCCTCGACTGGGAGTAGATAAAGGAGAAACTTTACAATTGCTCCCACTGCCTGCATCATTTGTTTGGAATGACAACTTAAAAGATACTCTTCGTGAAAATTTTATTAATAGCAATGTTTCAAGTGAGATGAATACTTTATTTGAATCGTTAAATGAGACTGATTCGGTAGTGAGCAAGTTTACCGACGTTATAGTTAATGTTTCGAGAAATGTCGTAAAAATTAGAAATAGGCAAACACCAAAAAAGAAACGAAAACGCACAATCCAAAAACAGAGATGGTTTAACACGAGTTGTTACCTATTAAAGAAGGAATTAAAAAAATTGGGTAGTTTACTCTCAAAATACCCCTATGATCCTTTTTTAAGACATAAGTTTTTTGCTACTAAAAAGATTATAAGCGACTTACTAAACGGCTTAAACGAAATTTCCAAAGCGAATTGTTAAATAAGATTGAACTAATGGAGGAAAATCATCCGAAGGAGTTTTGGAAATTGGTAAATTCGATAAAAGCAAGTAACTCGTCAGATTCGTCAGACGATATATCACCAGTAGTGTGGTATAACTATTTCAAAGATTTAAATGGAGTTAAGGTAGATTCTACACAATGTAGCAACGAGGCTAAATTTGTCAAAAATTACCAGCTATGGACTGTTAACTCAAATGAGATATTGGATACACCAATTTCAGTAGAAGAAATTCGTTCATCAGCTAAAAAACTTAAAGGCAAAAAGGCCAGTGCTAGGGACTCAATTAATAATGAAATAATTAAGATTGCTGTGGAGGTTTTCGCTCCATATTTTGTGAAGCTATTTAACTTAATCCTATCAAGTGGGGTGTTTCCTCGGCCATGGTCCGAAAGTTATATAGTACCCATTTATAAGGCAGGTAGCCGTTTAGATCCCGGAAATTACAGGGGAATATGTATAAGCAGTTGCTTAGGTAAATTCTTTACTCTAATTCTGAATTCCCGTTTTAACACTTTCTTGGAGGGAAACAAGATTTTAAATAAATGTCAAATTGGGTTCAGATATGGGTTCAGAACGTCTGATCACATACTTGTACTAAAAACATTAATTGATTTATACAAGAGCCATAAAAGGCCGCTATTTGCATGCTTCATAGACTTTCGGAAGGCTTATGATAGTGTATGGAGAGAAGGTTTATTCTATAAACTCATTCAATACGGTTGTAGCAGAAATTTTATTCGTGTTTTACTCAGCATGTATTCTTCTGTTAGGGCTGCAATCAAACTTAATGCAGGAGTTACTCCTTCCTTTGCATCTAATATTGGACTTAAACAGGGGTGCAATCTTAGTCCAACTCTGTTCAATGTTTTCATAAACGATATTCCTGATTTGTTTATCTCCAAAGATTGTGATCCGGTATATCTGGGAGAAACGAAAGTAAATTGTTTACTTTATGCCGATGACCTTGTACTATTATCACAGTCTGAGTCTGGTCTACAGGAGAGTCTCGCTAAGTTGGAATGTTATGTTAAAAGATGGAAATTGAAAATTAATTTAAAAAAGTCTAAAGTTCTAATCTTTGGAAGTAAATCTCAAAGGCGGCCGTATATTACGACGAATTGGTATTTTGGTGGGGATCTGATAGAATGTGTTGATGAATATCCGTACCTAGGAATTACATTTCATTATGCTGGTGGTTTTAAACTTGCACGTAAGAGATTGCATAATAAGGCACTGCAGGCTTACCACAGTATTTTTAAAAACTTTTCCAATGTGGATAGGGTTCCGGTTAAGGTGCTGTTAAAGTTATTCTCAACTCTTGTTTCCCCTATTCTGTTATATTGTTGTGAGATATGGGGAGTATATTTCTTAGGCAGATTGACAACGACCGAGATGTTCAAGAACAAAATTTTCAACGTGATTTCAGATATTGATAAGCTACATTTAAAATTTTGTAAACGTATTTTAGGGGTCCACCCCAAATCTACCAATCTAGCAGTGCTAGCTGAACTAGGCAGATTACCAATGTCTGTACAAATTTCAACTCTAGTTATCAAATACTGGTTAAGAATAAATAGTCCAAATTACAAAAAGCAATTAGTAGGTAAGGCAGTACAGGTGTGCATTCAATCAAGGTATCAGGGTGTGAAATTCTCTGATTTCTTACTACATATGTGTGATTTCGAACCTTTGAGCAGTTATGAAATTCAGTCTAAAAGTGATATTAGTAATTTAGCTAAAGCTATTAAGAATGAATTATGTAATAGATATAATACCATATGGAAAGATCAGATTCAACAGTGCAACAAATTACGAATCTTAAGCCTTGTAAAACCAAGTTGGCATGTTGAAAGTTATTTGTCTTCGGTCAGAAATGTAAAACACCGCCAAGCGGTTACAAGGTTTAGGATATCTGCACATAGATTTCCAGTTGAAGTCGGTCGATATGCTAATATTGACTATAAGTTACGCCTATGTCCAATTTGTGATTCAAATGATATAGGTGACGAATACCATTATTTTTTAAATTGTAAAAATTACAAGTTAGAAAATCTAAAAGAAAATTTCCTGAAAGAGATACTGGAAATTAATAGTTGTTTTAGTTCACTAGGTAAAAATGACCTGTTTCTTTATTGTATATCCATGAATGACAAGAGTTTAACAAATTGTACAGCCAGATACATTTACGAGTTAACTAAGATTTTCTCTGACTGTACTGTTTGTAATTAAGTATTAGTTATAGTACTAGTTTTATTGTTTGTATCTGTTATATTGTAATATATCCTATGTACCAGTAATGGTTCTGTTATATTGTAATATATCCTATGTACCAGTAATGGTGTAATGGAATAAATATATTATTATTATTATCTCAGAGATACATTTTTACAGACCGTCATACCTTTTACAAACGTCGGTTGACATGTTATTTACATGTAACTGCTGGTAAGTTAATATGTCTGCAGACAACAATCCACACTGGGTTGCTATAGGACTATCTTTGTGCAAGACAGACAATTTTACGATACTGCTCAATGCCTCAATTGATATTGCCAAAATAACAATAACAATAATAAACTCTCTGTGTGATTATTTATCCCTTAGAAGTACGATGTTCCATCAAGCCTACGATCAAGCTCAATCAGATTTTTTACAAACTGATAAATATCGACGAAGTCCACTTGTTTACTATGAAGACTTGTATGCACCTAAAAATGTAATAATTTAAATACAGTTAATTCATTCGCTTCAAGTTTCAACGCGTATCGACCAATACACATTGCTATTTGTGATCAAACTTTCATCTTACCTTGAAAAGCATTTTATTTAACAATCAGAGTCCATTTGCGATGAGACTATGCCATATACAGAGGCCATTATCACAGAGCCATTATGCGTACATGATTGTAACGTGTTTACAAATTGTCATTGTCCATGGTGGTGTTCGCGGGTCTAGCTATTTTGCGGGCCGCGAGCTGCGGGTCAGTTTTTGCGGGCTGCGGGTTAAAACAATTGCGGGCCGCGGGCCAAATTGCTGGCCTGACTATTTTTTTGTTGCATGCCATATATGGCATGTAACTTTCATTGGTGAGCGTACCGGTCACGTGGCAAATTCGTAAAATACGACAAATACCGAGTTTTTCCGACGAGCATTTCATCACTCATGCTCGATGAAAGGCAAAGAGAAATGTTTGAGTGTTCGCGGGAAATTTACATAATTGAGCGCCTTTAAAAATAGATAAAGGTAGATAAAGCTTTGCAGGCTTTAATTTTCCTTATATTCTGTTATTTGTTGTGATTCTGGAGCAGTTGTGCTCGCAATAAAATATTAATCATAAAATGAATGATTATTTATCAGTCGTTTTTAATATTTATATCTACGCTATCAAAATACTCATTTTTTTTATATATGCTCAATATATACTATATTGTGTGCAAAACTTCAAAACTACAGTACATTTTGTAAATAACGTGAAATATATTAAAATATCAAACAAAATTCTCATTATACTATTGGAATTTAATACAACGAAATAGTATTCTACGTCGATAATTTCAATCATAGTTTAATAATTATTTTCAATCTATGGTAATTCGCCGTTTCCATGTTTTTTTTTATACTTTCGATAAAGCTACAATAAAGCTAAATTTGTAGGAAATAACATTATTTAGTTATAAAATAGTATAAAAGGAAATCTAACAGTCAATCGCTTTCGATAAAACCTTGACCTTGTTTATATTACCGTCGTTTGCAACTAACGATGAACAGTCGCTCATAAAAACATTGCCTATTCGCGTGAGAATCTTAAGTTTTCTTATTTTGACATAATAGCTATTTTTCAATAAATATATTGATATTAAACTTATTGAATCAATATTTTAAGTTTCAGGCCAGTTGTACCAAAAGTTATAAGCGGTAGCGCATTATAACCAGGGCACAGAAAGGGTCATACAGAAGCCCAATTTCTTGGTTTTTCCTATGATTTTCCAATGATTTTGGCGGTTAGCACTTTTTTCCATCCAGCAAACCGCCCTATCGATTTTCTAAAGTTGCTTTTTTGCATTTTTTTATTAATTCGATTAGGGTTAGAGTTAGGGTTAGGGGTTAGAGTAGGGACTAGGTGTAGGGTTTGTGTTAGTTACATAGCCATTTAAAGGCCGCTTTCCACTTCAACCGTATCGTACACGCGTAAAAACGCTCAGGTTGAATGGTTGATGCAATACTGATGAAAACAGGATTGAACAATGTTTTGCTGCCCACATTGTTCATAGCTGTCAACAATATTGGACAATATTCAGGCTCAACAATAGTGTTCAATATTGTTGACAAGTGTGAACAATGTGGGCAGCAAAACATTGTTCAATCCCTCTGGTTCAATCCTGTTGAGCAGCGGGCTCGGCATTTTTTGCCGTGTACCGAAACGTAGCGTATTTCTTTGTTTCCTGAGCGCTAGAGTGGAACTAATGATTTCAACACAAAAGAAAATGCTACGATACGGTCGAAGTGGAAAACAGGTTTAACACCTCTTCTCTCTTCCGAAAATGACGTCAGGTCAGTTTGCTGGATGGAAAATAGTGCTACTATTAGGATTGGTGTACAGTTATGGCAATTGCTAGATAGTATACTTCACAATAAGGTTTCCGTTTTTATATCAATTTTTAAAATAATTAAAATAAGTTAGGGTTAGGTTAGGGTTTAGGTTAAGGTTAGGTTGGGGTTAGGGTGAGGGTTAGTATTAGGGTTAGGGTTTAGTTTTGCGTTAGGATAGTTTTTTCTACGTTATAAAAACGGAAACCTTATTTTGAAGTATACTATCTAGCGATCACCGTACAGTTATCCCGGTCGAAACAGGTTTTAATGTCTGGTACGACTCATAAACTGAGATTCCATGATATTAAAAAAAGAATTCATTTAGGGAAAAATTCGTATGCTTATGATTACGAATAACATTAGACATAGAATATACTTCAAAGACAGAAAATTTTGAATAATATTGTTATTTTCTTTACATTTTGACAATATTTTTTTAAAAATTCGTCAGGCCCGCAACTAGACCCGCGGCTTGCAATCGTGTTAGCATTTTTCTGCCCGCAACCCGCATTTTTCGGCCCGCAGCCCGCATTTTTCGGCCCGCAGCCCGCAATTTTTGGCACGCAACCCGCATTTTTCGGCCCGCAGCCCGCAATTTTTGGCCCGCAGCCCGCATTTTTCGGCCCGCAGCCCGCATTTTTCGGCCCTGTTGAGTTCAATATAAAACTGTATGTTATCCAAATATTAGTATGACGTAATACTGAGAGACAAATGCATGATGGGATTGTTGTGTTGTTAGTTGAACTTCCTCGTGAAAGCAACTTACTGTACAAAACTACATTTGTAATAAACGTGAAAATAAAGAGTGATTTCATTACAAATACGGTGTTCTAAAGTCATGGCTTCAACAGGTTATGGGCCCAGCAGAGAATCACGCTGGTCAAGGTTGACTTTCGATGGAAACGAAAGCAATTACGAACTGTGGGAAGCGAAATTCCTCGCGCACATGAGGTTATTAAAACTAAAGGATACTATCCTGCCGTCTGAAGAAGAGGCTGACGCAACAAAGAACGAAGAATGCTACGCCGAGCTTATACAGTGTTTGGACGACACCAGTCTGTCATTGGTAATGAGGGATGCTACCGACGATGGCCGAAAGGCTTTACAAATACTCCGAGACCATTATGCAAATCAAGGCAAACCAAGAATCATCACACTCTACACTGAGCTAACGTCACTTGAAAAAGCACTTCACGAGACAGTCACAGATTACTTAATAAGAGCCGAGAAAGCAATAACAGCGCTTAAGAACGCCAAAGAAACGTTAAGCGATGGGCTAATAATTGCTATGATCTTAAAGGGGCTGCCTGATTCATATAAACCGTTCTCGATACATGTGACCCAAAGTGCAAGTGAGATAACGTTCGCGAAGTTTAAGAGCATGTTGAGGAGCTTCGAAGAAACGGAAAAGCTCAACACCAAACCGAAAGTTGATCAGGTAATGAAAGCTGAGTTTTCTTCGCAAACAATGACATGTTATGGCTGCGGGAAAAGAGGGCATTTAGTCAGAGAGTGCCCTGCTAAGAGCGAGAAGAAGTGGTGTAACTATCACAAAAGTACAACACACTCGGATAGCACCTGCAGAAGTCTACAAAAGAGCAAAGACCAAGCCAAACAGGTGTCGGAGAAAGAAAACACTTCTAAAGATGAACATTCATTTGCATTAAAATTTAACGACGAAACAACAGGGAAAATCAATCGAATGGGAATGTTGGTTGACACAGGTGCCACTTCTCACATTGTTACTACTGATATTTTAAAGCAAATAGACATGACATTTAAACCATCAAAACATTTCATTGAACTGGCTGATGGCACACGAGCCAGTAATATTGCATTGAAACGAGGGGATGCTGAAGTGTTTCTGAAAGATACAAATGGAAAATGTGTGAAAACGGTGCTGAAAACGCCTTATATATACCATCCTATCCTCAAGATATTTTCTCAGTGAAGGCAGCCACATCAAATGGAGCCGAGCTTCGATTTGCCCAAGATACTGGTGAGCTAACCCTTGAAGATGGTACCATTGTTGAAATTGAAGAACATGGACGGTTGTACTATTTGACTTCCATAGACAGTCATGAGAACGAGAGCGTAAGTGAAGTAGATAAAGTAAATCTCTCGTATGATATTAACACATGGCATGAAATCCTAGGGCACTGCAATTTTGAAGATATTATAAAACTACAGGGGGTAGTTAAGGGCATGAAATTCTCAGGTAAAATTGAGTCATCTAAGTTAGGTTGTAATACATGTGTGGAAGGAAAATTTGTGAACAGCAGGAGTAGGATTCCTGATGCAAGATCTCAAAAATCATTGGAGAAAGTGCATGTGGATTTGGCAGGTCCAGTTTCTCCTGTATCAAGAGAGGGGTTTAAGTACTGCATAGCTTTTACTGATGATTTCTCAGGAGCAGTATTTGTTTACTTTCTGAAATGTAAAAGTGACACCTTTGTAACAACAGAGAAATTTCTAGCAGACATCACTCCTTATGGCAAGGTAAGTTGCATCCGTTCTGACAATGGCTCAGAATTTACAGGTAAGGCGTTTCAAACACTACTAAGGGAGCGTGGCATAAAACATGAAACTTCTGCTCCCTACTCGCCACACCAGAATGGCACCGCCGAAAGGCACTGGCGCACATTGTTCGAAATGGGCAGATGTCTTCTTCAATCAGGGTTACCCAAAACTCTCTGGCCCTATGCAATTCAAACCGCAGCTCACATTAGGAATAGATGTTTTAATAAGAGAACAAAGACAACACCCTACTTTAGCCTTACTGGGAAAGTACCTGATCTTTCTAAAATGTGGATCTTTGGATCGGAATGTTTTGCTTACGAACAGGAGCATAAGAAATTAGACTCAAGATGCAGCAAGGGGGTATTTGTGGGATACGACAAAAATAGCCCTTCTTACCTAGTGTACTACCCCAAAAATGGGAAAATCATGAAACATCGACTCATTAGATTCATCAAGAAATGTAGTGTAGAACAGCACACACAAACTGATGAGTCCAGCAGGGATTGTGATGATGAGTCCAGCAGGGATTGTGATGTACATGAGAAATCTGACCATGATACTAGATCAGACTTAGATAGTATGAGCCTCCCTGTTTTAAGTGCAATGCCGCCAAATACAGTGCCTGATGAGGAGCCTAGGGATAGTGAGGGAAGGCATTGCAGCCATACTGAGAATGACAGTGAGACAAAACGGTATCCTCAAAGAGAAAGGAACCCTCCCAGATACCTAGAAGAGGACACCCTCCTCCCTAAGAATGCCGATTGTGCCCACATTAGTGTAGATTACTGCTACAAAGTTTGTGGATTACCACAAAATTACACAGAAGCCATGGGATCACCTCAAGCCAGGGAGTGGGAGCAAGCAATGAAGGAAGAGATCAGCTCTCTGAAGGAAAATGATACTTACGAATTATCAACTTTACCAGAAGGTAAAACTTCAGTAGGGGGAAAATGGGTGTACACAACCAAACAAGATCAGAATGGCATAGAGTCCTTTAAGGCCAGATATGTAGCGAAGGGTTACAGCCAGGTAAAGGGTATAGATTATCAAGAAACTTTCGCCCCGACAGCCAGTATTACTTCAATTAGGGTCTTAATGCAGTTAGCAGTAAAACATGATCTTATTGTCCACCAGATGGACGTTACAATTTACAATTTATAATAGCTTTATTGGCATGACCTTAAATTACAGGTATTGCTAAAGCATAATAATCTAAATATAAATAATCTAAATACAAATAGTCTAAATATAGTAAAAAGGTAGAAATTCCAAGTTTACAAATAGTAAGAAGTACATGCATTACAATAACTATATAGTCAATCCCAATAACACAAATAACAGATAACCAATAAGATCTATTTACAAGATATAGGAAAAATTTTCATTCAACTTTCTAAGTTTAGAGAAATAGTATGTTAATAATTAACTGACAGCAATCCCAATTTCAAGGTATCTATTTCTTTCCGTAAAACAGGAAGAAATATATTTCGACAGAGATAAAATAGTCTCGTGCTCTGTAGATTTCATTATATCTACTAATTGTGCCTGATCTATGATAATGGTTAGCTTGTTTCTGAGAGTGGTGTAAAAATTCTCTCTTTGGTTGCTGTAGGCTTTACACCAATTTGCAAAATGGTATTCATCTTCCACTTCCCCTGACTGGCAGATTTCACACAGTCGTTCTTCCCTTGGTATTTTTTGATAGCGACCTAACTCAATCATTAATTTGTGGTTGCTCACTCGAAATTTTGTGAGTGCTTTCCTTTCGGTTGAATTTTTTATTGTTGAAAGATATTTCTCTAGTTGGTATTCTGTTTTGAACGTGTTGTAAAACTTTAGTTTGGAGGAGTTTTCGAGTTTGTGTTTCCAAAAATTAAGATATTTTTGCTTTATGTTGTCATGGATAAAGCTTAGTGTTTGAATTGCGATTGATTCCAGTTCTGTTATTTGTGTGTTGCAGTTATAGGATTTCAAAATATCCATAATATTTCCATAGAACGAGGTAATTCGTTTGGAGTGTAAGTCTTTCGAGATAAGAAAAGCTTGTTTGGCAAGTGCTTCTTCAGCTTACACAAGCTTACTTCCTCCGCCCCGCCCCCAAATCACCTAGTCCCAGTCTTTTCATGTGAAAAACCGCTGATTACTAAAAAATATAAATAAGACTAGAAGGCCTAGGTCTAAGCTGACATGTCACCACTCTTACCACCTCGACTAATAATGCTGTGGTAACTAACACCTTCAAGATAATTCAATTTATAGGCGTGCGGGTCGTCATGATTGAAATATACGTGAAATTTTCTGGAATATTGTATCAAAAATTGTGTTTTCAAAATTTTTTGCCCTTGTTTTGGTTTATTAATAAGGTCCCGGAAAAAAATATTCGGAAACGAAATATTAATTAGTGATTTCCCTTACGTCAACATTGCCCCCCTGCGCCCTACCCTCGCTCCAGCGTCCCTGAAAGCACTGCAAACCGCGCCTAATGAAATTTCAAGGAATTTTCAAGGAAATAACGTTATACAATCTAAGGAATTTAGAGAAATTTTGATGACAAAAATAAGAAATTTTGATTTTGAAAATGGAACCACTGAACCATACGAGGCATTTTCAGGGCATTTTTAGCTCTTTCGAACGCTTAGGTCGCTATATTTAAAACCTACCAAATATCTAACAAGAATATTCGAACAACGAAAAGAAGTACAACTTTTTGTTATAATTTTGTGTCGAAGTATGGAATGCTAAACGCCATGTTTACAGTGTTTGAAAGTGCAAAGACTCACAAGTCGTTAGGCTTATTAGTGTATGGGAGACGGGTTACAAAATATGGAAGGAGCAAGTCAGCATGTTCGCCCTTCAAGACAGGCAAACAATTCACCGATACCACAACGCCAAGGTAGGGTATGAATACTATTACAAGAGTACCCCTTGCCTTGTTTAACAATACGTTTTGCTGGCAAGCAAATCTGATTTATACAAACGATTATGCTCTCCAAATGTTGTGATTCTACAGCACTTATGAGATCTTCTGAAAAAATATTCCAGCAGTGACAATTACACCAGAAAGCTGGGATTAAGAGGGATTCTACTTCCTTGAAAATACAAGTAAAAGTTGACGTTTCGAGAAATAGCCCTTTGTCAGGATGTTACCAGTACCCGACGAAGGTCCTTCACTTGAAACATAATGAAGTTAATTTACTTGACATATTTCAGATAGTTGAATTGCTTTCAATCCGTAGCTTTCCAGTATGGAATGGAAATGGAGAAAACTTTATTTAGGGGCAACATCCATATTCATGTTGCTATGCAAAATGTCAAAATGACGTTTTCGCCTCGACCCTGAAAATGTCAAGCATAAAATGAAGTGTATCTAATACTTTAAAAGGGTAAAATGTGGGGTTCCCACTCCAAAAGCACTTAAAATAAAATATTAAACTTTTATATACCCTTGAATCTTGATAAAATCACAAAATTGCAAATAATTGCACAAAAACTGCAAAAGTTATGAAAAAGGTTAAATTGAAAAACATTGCGAGCTCAGAATTGTTTTAATATTCTTTGATTTATAAAATAAAATGTTTGTTTTGTTAGATTGGACTCCTGCAGGCCAAATATCTTGATTTTTGCCTCTTGGCCTCTCAAGTTGTTTGGCTTTTTTATGTCTATAACAAAATTGACAAGAATTTTTTAAAAATTTGGCTTTTCTCATTTGACCTCTTTTGGTAGATTTTGGCAATTTACCAATGTTGTTAACTCGGCGAGTACTTCATCAATGATGCGCCAAAGCCTATTATTCTATCGGCAGGCCAGCTGCATATTTACTGTAAAATTTAAAAACTATTTGAACTTTGATGCTTGTGATGTTACTCTGAGTGTATATCCACACCGGGCAAGCTTGAAAAATATGCCTGTCCATGGTGGGAATCGAACCTACGACCTTTGGAATACCAGCCCAATCTCTGCCTGGAACTGAGCTAAGCAGTCAGGTCGGTTTGAGTATGTGATATTTTGGAACAGAATTTTTTTTCTGTGTTGGTGTAATGTACTCAGGTGAATATGATGCTTTGATGTTACTCTGAGTGTATATTCACATCGGACAAGCTTGAAAAATATGCCTGTCCACGGTGGGAATCGAACCTATGACCTTTGGAATACCAGCCCATGTATATAATCACCAAACCAATTGACAGCTGTTACATCTTATATAATTAGTGTACAATGTATATTTCAGGTAATTCCCAGAAATCATTGGTCAAAGGTAAAAATGGCCAGATCAAATCACAAAAGTTTGCGAAAGGAGGGAGAGGAGCTTCCTTTGCCAATTGCCAGAAAAACACATATCCAGACCAAGGTCGAGCAAGAGGAGGTCAATACCCTCTTAGAAAAAGAGGTTTTACTGATAAACGACCACCTACACAAGGATTGAGACAAACTGAAAGATTTAATCCTGTAAGTGTTGGAATGTTGAAGAAGCTTTCCACGCTTGCAAGCTTTCTTGTTGAGTTTCTTGGACACTCTCTGGTTTAAAAGATGCAGATTAGCAGTCAAAAACTCATGGAATAGATAAATATTGTTCCCAAAAGTGGAACTCACACACTGGATTTAATAACAGATTTCAAAACAAATAAATTTGCATAAGTACGACAAAGAGAATGTCCATAAGGCATACAGTCTTATAAATAATTCGTTCGAAAAATATTACAAAAAGCAACAACTCCCAGCGAGCCTTTGCGTGCTTAGGGCACAGTGTCCCAAACTCTTTTAACAATAACAATAGCAATTCCAAAACACCCCCCTCCCGAATACGAAGTGTTCACTTTGCGATGTCCTAGGCGTACTTTAAAAACTCTTGCCTACTTTGTGTTCGTTTTCATCACCATCTTCAAGTGCAACAATTTCCTTCAGGTTATAAATGAGCTTCACAGTTATTTCATGCTCGCTTTCTATTTTGAGAGCAGCTTTCCTGATTTCGGTTTTAGTCGCTGGACTTCGACTGCCAAAACTTTTGTTATCAGCAAGTTCTGAGAGTTTTAGTCTTTGCTGATTTTTTGCGACTACACAACATTCTAACCTTTTTCTTGTCGTGCTTGTTGTTTCATCGGGAATTTCAGTCGTGGTTTCATCTTTACCAGGCTCGTGTTGAACAGTAAAAGCAGTGCCCACTGCTTTAGGCTGAGGGCACTGCTTTATCTTCAGCTAAGTTTTCCGGCTAAATATCTTAGTTTTTCTCTGGTAAAGACCTATCTGAAATGATCATGTTTTGTGAGTGGCATTCCGAAACAAAAACGATCATTGTTTGTGACTCGTTCTTTAGAAAGACGATTTCTATAGTTCTATTGTCTTTCATTGTTGTAACCAACCAATCACGAGCCTGGATAGTATAGGTAGATGATGAACCCTTTTCTTGCTCATATTTGTCTTCAATGATCCCTTTTCTTGCTCACGTTCGACTCCAAATATCGAACTATCAGTCGCGAAATTTTGTCTATTTTTCCTTTAGATCCAGCTACGAATGACTAAATTGTTTCCAAAAATGGGACTGACACAGTGAATTTAATAACAGATTTTAAACAAATAAATTGACATGAATACGACCACGAAAATGTAGTATTAATAATTCGTTCGAACATACTGTAGTTAATAGAATAAATAGTTTGGAAACTAATTGGAATAACAATATAACTCATTATCTATGTTAGTCAACCTTTATTCATAAATCTGGTAGTTCACCGTCACGTGTGTATTGTATTTTTGCCCAAGTAACCAATAGCAATGTCTTAGGTAAGTTACCTATCCGTGACTCGAACGATAAGGTTAATTTAGAAATTGCTATTGGTTGATTTGGCAAAAATACAATAATACGTGACGGTGGACGACCAGATTTATGAATAAACGTTGACCAACGTAGATAAAGAGTAAGGTTATATTGTTATTCTAATGAGTTTCCAAACTATTTATTCTATTAACTATGTTCGAACGAATTATTAACACTTTATGGACATTTCGTGGTCGTATTCATGTAAATTTATTTGTTTAGAATCTGTTATTAAATTCACTATGTCAATCCCTCTTTTGGAAACAATTTAGTCCTTCGTAGCCGGATCTAAAGAAAAAATAGACAAAATTTCGCGACTGACAGTTCGATATTCATGGAGTAAGACAAATGTCGAATCAATTCTATTAACTATGGTCGAAAAATATAAAGAAAACGACAACTTTCAGCGAGTCTTTGCGCGCTTAGGTCACAGTGTCCCAAATTCTTTTAATAACAACAACAATAACAATAACAATTTAAATCAGAAAGTGTCCGAAAAACAACGCTGAGAATGTCATTGTGGTATACACAGTTGGATGAAATCAGTTGTACCAGAATTACAGTAACGAAATCTAAAGCTTTAACCTGTAATTTGTGTGTTTTAATTTGTTGTTTTTAGTTGGCAGTACAGGATGGTGAAATGCAACATGACTACAACATTCATGCGACATCAAAGAAAGATTCTACATCTCTAAATTATCTCCTAAATTTCACATATGCTCCACTACAACAAACACACCATGTGTGGTCAGGCAGGAGGAAAGCTGGTGGAAAGTGGAACCAGTACAATAAAGAACAGTTTCTGCAAGCAAAGTAATTGAGTTACCTCTTATTACTTGTGTGAAATTTAAGAATAATTTAACTTAAAGTGGCTCGATAAGGTTTTTAAAGCTTTAGGTGTATAATATTTTAACAGCAGTAAATGTCGCATTTTAAGGTTTCATGCAGCAGATATCAGGATGTTGATTTGTCTTGATGTTTCTTTTTCAATTTATGTCAGTTTTTGTAACCCATAGTTATTTACTATGGCAACACATGCGTACGAATTGACACTAAAATATCCTATTGCTTCGTGGAATTAGAAACGAAGTACCTGTGATCCTTAATTTATATAGCGCACTATTTTCCAAAAATTTGCATTTTTAATGACGTCAGCAATCGACTTGCATGCGTTATAAAACACGTACAACGGCACAGAATAGAAAATAAACCAGAAGGTCCACTTAGCCAAAATTATGTCCAAGATTTTTCATACACAGGCCCGAGCCAGCAATTGTAATCACGACGACATCAAGCGCGAGCAATATGCCATCACTTGATAAAGATCGTCGTTTTAACCATTTTTAAATGCCACAGGTCCAAATAATGGGTCATCGCTACAGGAAGACACGACAAGCATAAAATATTTAGACAATAATTGCAGAATGCAGCGTACACTTTTAGTATGTTTTGTGAATTTCAAGAAAAACCATAGGATGCCCAATGTTATGGTTGCCTGGGCGCGGGCGAGGCATAGCATACTTTGTATTATTTCCTAAGCTAGGCAAATGCCATCAAACTATACCGATACATATACCTTCAAACATTCCAAAATACTTCAGATCTTTTTACAATTACGGAAATCTACGATACTTGTACTACTATACACTAAACGTCGAAAAACCGTCCAAATGACAGCCAATGAAATTGGGAATTCGTCATTTGAAACACCATCAAAAACTCCGGGTTCTGGATCCTCCCATTGAAAAATTGAACAAAATTGCAAAAACTTTTCGTATTTTTCTCGCACTACAAATTTGTTTTGTACGTTAAGATATTGTTAGTATATAGTAAAAGTATCGTAGAATTTATTTTCGTTATTATTTTAGCGTAGTTTTTAGCGTTTGAAGTATTCTGGATTGTTTGAAGGTATATGCATCGATAGTTTGATTGCATTTGCCTACCTTAGGAAATAATACAAGTATACAACTACACTCATAGACGGATTTTGTGTGTGGGGGGGGTACCCCCCCCCCCAATATTAGCTATAACCCCCAAACAAAATGTCCACCCCTCAAAAAAAATTTTGACCCCCCCCCCCAATATTCGGCATAAATAATTAAATAGTCCACTCCAACGTGCAGAGTGTTGATGATACAAAATAAATGTAAGAGTACACTCAAATAGAAAAAGACAGTGCAACACTCTGAAACTAATCGCTCCTCGCTTGCATTCACTGGTTTATTGGAGCAATTGTAAAGTTTTGAAACTCTATTATTTCCCCTGAATAGAGTTTGCAGTGCCTTGTCATGCAAATAGCTCGCTCGCAAGGAACGTTTGGAATTTTTACGAACATTATTTTTAGTTTCTAATTCTTTTAGGAAATAGACTTGCCTAGATTTAATCTTTACGCCCGAAATATTATTTACATCGGAGTTGCATCATAAATTGTACTCGGATTCAAACGACACAATGTCAATGACTTTATAAAAGTAAAAGCATATTGTGTATTGGCCTATTGGGTTTACACTTTTACAGGTTCATTTAACTTTAACTCTCTCAAGTCTCAACAGACAATCGGACATGCCAAATCCATTGATATGACAACTTCAAAAAACTTTTTTTCGAAGCTAGAAATCATGATTTTTTTCAAATTTTTCCAGTGATACTTTGTTTTCTGCTCTCTAGACTCCCCCTCGCGGCTCTAGTGCTCCATCCCTAGAATATAGACCTCACTGGGGTTTCGTGACACTTTGGCACCACCCCAGTAAAAAATATGAAAATCCGACTATGACTACACTATGCTTCGTCCGCGCGCAGGCAACCATAACATTGGGCTGCCTATGGAAAAACCGTTGATTTGAGAAATTGACGCTGACGTGATGTTCGCAGAAAGTGTCACACACGTCATCTAGCGTGCGCAATTCGTGATCCGCAAGGCGAAAATCGCGGACACAAAAATGTTGGGGAAAGCTGTACAGTGAGGCTTTGGGTATATTTTTTATTCCATGACAAAGGCGCGTGATGACGTGAGCAAATCACCACGTCAGCTCATATACGTACTGTAAATCCTTTCGTTAACATACACGCGGTGTATATTAATATATCGAGCCACCTTAAGTGGGGGTCAATCAGTGAAATTAGATCAAAATTAGGTCAACTAAAACAACATAGAAAAGAATGGCTGTCAACTCATCTTGTGTAAAAAGCCAATATTTAACAATTATTCGCCGAAGCCGATGTGATTATCGGTGAATAAAAACCAAGAGGAAGTCGAGGTTTTTATTTACGATAATCACTGAGCTTGAGTGGAATAATTGTTTTAGTATAATAATTTCATAGGTGATTATTTGGAAAAAATAAAAATACACATGTCTTCGTCATTTAATTGACAAAACTGCTTCGGCCGCCATTTCGAAAATTGCTTAGGTGATTATCGCGTTATAATCACCTCAACGGCAACCAATCAGCGTGGAGAATTTTCAATAATCACCTATGTAATTATGCTAAAAAACCCAATATAAACAATATAAAAGCCGTCCTTTGCCCTTGACACAGACCCATGCATAACCCCCCCCCCCCCCATGTGACGTCGTATAATACCTGAGAATATTCACTTTTCTCATTATAATTTTGCCTCGTTTGCATAAGAGAAGAGTGCTTTCAGATTGGCCAGAGCCAATTAGAATAATATTTGGGACCAACCTTACTGGACCTCTCAGTATATGACCCATCAAGAGGCAACGCTCTCCCCTTGATGAGTAGAATAGTGTGGTGTTGCGCCATTGAGCGGCAATGTTAATCCATTTAGCGGCAGCACTTTCCCCCTGTATTGGACACAGTAAAATACGTAAGAGTAGGTGACATTTATTAATCTAGTTTAGGTTTCCTGCTATAATAACACTGGTCCAATAATTGCTGTCTCTTATTGTACATTGTCTCTGGGGAGAACCATTTAGAACTAGAGCTAACCAGTATAAATAATTGTTTTAGTTTATAGTTTAGTTTGGTTTAATTTAGTTTAGTTGTCTCATAACAGTTTCTGTGTTGTTTTAGTTGTCAGTTTGTGGTTCACGCGGGTGGTAACTATACTGTGAATTTTGTTGATCCTGATGTCATTGTTGACTGGGAATTGATTGAGCAAGTGGTAAGAACAGTGTAAAAAGCCGTACTAATCCTGGTCTTTTATTTACATTATTTATTATGCAAATAACTCGACATAACTATAAACGTTTACATTGTTCGTGTCCGATTTCAAGATAATGTCTTTTCCAAAAGTATTTTGCACGAGGTGAACCACGTGACCACAAACTCACCAATAACAAACGAACCATTAAATTTAACAAACATGAAGTACAAGAATTACGTTAATGTTTTCTACAAACAGTGTGTACGAATTACCTGAATGTACTGTAATTCCAAGACCCCTAAAACAAGACTCTTGTCTTGTCCTAATACCATGACCAATGGTTACCATGCAATTGACATTGACAATGCAAACCCAAATTTTCATTACTCCTGCTTGTGAGGGCGGTTGTTTGGAGGAATCCCCTTGAGTAAGTTACATAAAGTCCGTTCTGCCCATCAGTTCTGCTCGTAACAAAGGGGGACTTGCAGATATAAACATTGCCCAATTTTTGCATTTTTCGCACTTTTTTAAATTGAAACGTCTAGTTTATATTGCTTTATTGTTTTAACAGTTTTATTAGGAACAATGACAGCTATTTCCAAAAAGGGAAAGTAACGAACAGGTCGTAAGAACCTATGCAAGGCTACCCCCATGCACGTTTTGAAATTAATACTCCGAAATCGTTTTAGTGGTCAACGTTGACTGGTTGTGGTGGTATGCAAAGGTGTAGGGGTGCACCGGAACTCGGTTCCGGCCGGTTAGTTCCGGCCGGAACCCCGATTTTTTAGAGTTCCGGTTCCGGCCGGAGCTAGTAAAAAAAGTATGGCCGGAACCGGAACTCTGTCGTTTTCAGGGAGATAGAATATCAAACGTTTTTGTGTCTAACAAAAGGTCACAGTAGGAAGAAACTTGGACTACGCAAGGGAAATGTACACTATTAACACTTCATTATGATGTTTAACGTTTGTCAGTCTTTTTATTCTGACATTTGCGAACTCTCTACTTGATGATTTGAAGTGTCTGCTTGTCTGGCAGCGGACAAAGTAACATATGACTATATATGGCTTAATAAATTAGTTCCGGTTCCGGCCGGAACTTTTTTCCAGTTCCGGTCGGATCCGGTTCCGGCCGGAACTTAAAAAACCGGTTCCGGTGCATCCCTACAAAGGTGACAGGACGTTTCTTTCGAGTAAATGATATCACCTTGCATTTGAATTCGTTGAAAGAAATATAATTACTGGTACTCCAATTCGTCAAGTTACACAAAGCTTGCTGTAGTTCTTGAGCATCACATTCGGAAGTTATCCCTCTGAAGGCTTTGGTGTCACCTTCGTTTTTTGTGGCACGATATTTGGCATGAATGAATAGTACAAACAACATTGGTCCAAGTATGCTGCCCTGAGGCACACCTGAAGCAACAAGTGTCCAGTCAGGAAGCAACCCCGTCCATAACAACTCCTTGAGTCCGATTAGTAAGATAGTCTTACTGTAAGCATTCTCCCTTTCGCGCCGTAAAACTTTGTTCTCAATCTTATCATTTCTATATCTTTTTCAGACTGAATAATTTTTTTCGAATTAGATGACGGACTTCTTCGTCTATTCACGGCGGGGAGTTAATGTCATTGATATATTTGGTAGGGATGTGTTCATTCACTGCCGTCATAAATAGCTCTTTCCAGCGAGACCAGCGGTCATCAATGTTGTCGTAAGAGGCAATTTGATTAAATCTACACTACTTCACATAGCGCGTTGCCAATCGTACTTTCACCGATGTTATCAGGCGCAGCGTCATCCATAGACCAGTCCATCATTGGCAGATCAAAGTCGCCGACTACAACACAACAGGTGGATTCTTCTATACTTTCTAAAGACAAGTTAAGTTGCTGAAGAACATCAGGCGTAGAATCAGGAGGGCGGTAAAATGTGTATAGTAAAAATGATCGACTGTTGGGTCTGCTAAGTTCAACGACAACAAGTTTGACACTTTTTCTTTCGAGATTTAAACTTCGAGTTGATTGAATATCAACATTAACAGCGACTAAAACGCCACCTCCAACACGGTCAGTTCTATCACGGCGGAAGATGTTATAACCTAGTTTATTGCCTAGTTTATAAATCCTTAAATAACTTGACTCCAGACTATTTAAGTAATATGTTTAAACCATTGTCAGCAATTTCCCAGCGACATACAAGAAGCACTGCCAATATGGACTTATGGATACCAAACTATAAACTATCAATCACCAGGAGTGGACTTCGGTACACTGGAGCATCTCTTTATAATATGTTGCCACCAGATATTAGATCTTCCAGCTCATTTCAAGCATTCAAGCGTAAAGCCCATGAATTGTTTTTGGATATGTACAAAAATAACTCATAAGATGTACAGTGTATGCTAATTCCAATTTTTTTATACCTATATCGATATGGACTTTATGTAATTATGTATACTGTAGTCTGTAGAAATGTAAATTGTACTGCATGTAAATATATTCGATTATATAGTTAACTTTAGAAGGTCCAGTGGAAGATTAGCGAAAGCTAAACTGGCATATTTCCTTGTAAATTAACCTTCTTTAAATAAAGTTTTAATAATAATAATAATAATAATAACCAGGTAATACTTCGCTGTTCAGCACACCGTCATTAAGCGAAGTCTCACATATGCATATAATATCATATGAGCCGCCACAAAGCTAGATGTTGCAGTAATGTGATCTTGCAGACTTTCTTGGATCCTCCGTCAAGCGATACAAAGGCCTTTAGACTCTTGCATTAAGATACAAAGCCTTTAAACCATTTGACTGTTCGTTTCCTGGTCCTGGGTTAGGGTGAAAGTCGCCACACATTAAGAGATTTTCAGAGAATACGGTAGGATTAAAGGTTGACTGGAAATTTGTATGATAGTGAAATCTTCGACGCATAAACGTACATTTAGTGACTACAACAAAGCGTGTTCGATTGAAGAATTAGTAAAATCTCGACGATTGTTGTGTGTTGATTGTGATGATGGATGATCCAAAATATTTACAACGGCGCAGTGGTTTTCAGGTACCATTACTGCAGAACCAGACAGATCATACAGCCGGTAGATCAACATGATGAAAAAGATTGGCAATGTTATGTATTTGTTCATCTTGAATTTATCGCAATTATATAAGTTCAAATCCAAATTTATTAAAGTTCTAATTTTGATTTGATCGCTCTTGTGCTTGCGTACGTCATGTCGCGTGCGTCGTATGCTTGCGTGATCAACGGTTCCAACCTACATTTCAAATGTGAGCGGTTCATTTGGCAATTGCAGCCAGTAACTGACTAGTTAATTCACCAAATATCCAGAAAATTATCTTTGAAATCAAAAAGTTTTACTTTGTTTCAAGTGGACCTTTTCGTTATTTATAATCCTGTAGATTTTAACGTTGTATTTTTGAAAAATAGTGGCAGAAATTCTGCATAAAGCGCGGAGTAATTAGCCATTCCGAAAAAATTAGGATATGAACCAAGTCACTATAAAAATTAAGATATGAACCAAGTCACTATAAAGACTAGACTGCGAGCGGTCCCTCCATTCCGCGGGTTTAGATTTCCGGGCACGAGAAAGGAAAGGAGGGACTGCAGACAACACAGTCAAGAAATGAAACCGCGTTGCCCACACAACGCAAAATTTCCATTGGTCGAAATCGATACGCCTGTCAATCAAATCTGATATGTAGTAATTATGCTATAAATAATTTCCAGAGTGAATGTTGATTTTATACAGGGTGTGTCAAAATAAAAGTAATCGAACGTCAGCGCGCTATTGTCTCTGAATTACTGCGTATGAACGAGATTTTTTCATCTTCAGAAAGATCAGGCTTTTAGGTGTTGAATGATATGTTCTTCATGCCAAATGGATAAAAAATAAGCAAGTACGAGTCTGATAAAAAATGCTAGTCACATCGCATATTTTCATTGTTGTAATATGCGATTCTGAGTAACATTTTTTATCGGACTCGTACTTGCTTATTTTTCCTCCATTTGGCATGAAAACATGTCATTCAACAGCTAAAAGCCTCATCTTTTCGAATATGAAAAGAAATGTTCATACGCCGAGCAATTCAGGTACAATAGCGCGCTGAAGTTCGATTACCTTTTTTTATACACCCTGTAAATAAACATGACATTAACGGTTTCCTATTGGATAGATTTAATTGGATATAGTAGTGTTTATGTAAAGGCGGAGCCAATTTGACAAGAGCAAAAAGTGGGCGTATTTCGTTTCTTGCTGTGTTGTCTGCGGTTCCTCATTTCTTCGAGGGACCACTCGCGGTCTATATAAAGACCAACCTCAAAATGAGTAAGTATACAAAGTTTGAAGACGTTAACGTTTAAACAAAGCGCTTGTGTCCATTACGGACTTCACAGCATCTTTAACATAACATTTGTATCACAGTTGTATTTTATTTATGTTTTTTAGCGTGTGAGGTGTAGAGAGATGCCATCTTGTCCTATCTGTCTCTATCCACCGACAGCTGGTTAGTTTGTTTAAATAATTCTGTGTAGCTTACAAAATGTTTTGTTTTCAACACTCAATAAGCACTGAGCCATAAGGCATGCAGTTGCTCGCCAAATGCGATCTCCAGAATCTTCCCGCACCCACAGCACACCCACTCCACACCCTTTAAAACGACAGCATCAACAAGTGATTATCAAAATTGGAAGTTAGGGTGGTAAAGCGACGATGTGTCTTTTCTGAACACTGAAAAGTCTTTACAGTCCTGGAAATGCCTCCCCCCCCGCGCGCGCGCGCGCACACACACACTATCAAGTGTTTAAAATACACACAAACACACCTGGACCATTTGCACCTTTGCTAAAGCAATTCAGACTTGCAATGAATACAAAAACCTTATTTCAGTGGTACCAATATTTAATGTAATTTGCATAATATTTCATAGCCCAAATAACAAGATGTGGTCATATCTATTGTTGGTCATGTATCCTACATTATTTATCATTGGTAAGTGCATAATATCGTATGTTACCATGGGGTAGGTATTTTTCGAGTTAAGCCCTTTTCGAGGTAAGCCCCTGCCACGACCTTTTTCGCCGGGACTTAACTCGAAGTCAATTAACGATTTAAGCATTCGAGTTAAGCCCCGACATCTGGTGGATATAAACAAATGACGCGTGTATACTCGCAAAAATATTAGCAAATAAGGATCGAGGGAGAATGTAAAATTTTAGCATTTTAAGAAATATATTTTACTAAGATCTCTTTATTTGCTTTGCCTACAGTTTTATACAGACAATGACATCGTGAAATGAGGGAACTCAATCGCTCAAGGTTCGGCGTGCGACTGCTACGTTCTAGTTCCTGGGTTCGATCCAACTTCGGGACGTAATGTTCTCGACTTTGCGTTAGCATATTCACGTAAAACTTGTTTCTAACTTTTTTTTAATTTTCAATGGTTTTAGACCCATCTCTCAACTGTGAAAATATGCAATCAAACTATAAACGATACATAGTATACCTTCAAACAATCCAAAATACTTCAAATATCTTTACATCTGCTAAAATAATCACGGAAATAAAATCTACGGTACTTTTACTATATACTAACAGTATTCTAACCTACAAAACAAATTTGTAATGCGAGAAAAATACGAAAGGTTTTTTCCAGTTTTTTTCAATTTCTGAATTGGACGATGCTGGACTCGCGCTCTACGTTTTTGATGGCGTTTCAAATTACGAATTTCCAATCTCATTGGCTGTCATTTTGACGGTTTTAAAACGTCGAAAAAGACAGCCAATGAGACTGGAAATTCTTCATTTGAAACGCTGCCCATCAAAAACGTCAAGCGCGAGTCCAGCATATCGTCTCATTCAAGAATTGAAAAAAATGCAAAAACTTTTCGTATTTTTTTCGCAATACGAATTTGTTTTGTACGTTAAAAGTCCGTAATGTAAACAAACGCTTTGTTTACATTTTGAACTCAGTGCTACAGTTGTAAAATATGATTAGATATATTATACTGAATTTTTAACACTCTTCCGGTTCGCTATGCTTGTAAATGAATGCAGACTAGAGATTCAATTCAAGAAAGTTCGGAAGGTGCGAAATATTGACAACATTCCAAAGGTTGCTCCCCCAAACACCGCGGAAAAACGTCTGCGCATGCGTCAACCTTATCTGTAATACTATTGCGAACTTGATGAGAAGCTGTTCCGAACGTTTCCGAAGGCTCAAAATGGCGGTAAAAAGTAGTGACTTCATTGTGCGTCTTTACAGTCAGATTTCGAGCGCAAAAAAAAACATGTCATTCTAAAAACTAGGAATAAATACAGCCAGAATATTCAAGAAATTGTATTGTACAAGAACATGAACTAAAGGTGATTGTTAACAAATTTATCGTCTGAAACATTTTGTTTATCAACTATGCAACGAGTTTCGTTTGAGATACATTTCTTTAAAAAAACCTGTGTCGCCAAATATAAAAAATTTTCGTGTTCACAATAATTAAACTTTAGGATTTATTCTACAATTTGAGTGGGTTAAGAAGCTTAACTTTTCGAGAGTTTTCTTAACTTTTTAGTTTGAATTTTTGTTTTGAATAATTTTGCAAAAATTTTCGAAGTCGTGTCCGTTAAAATCAACAATTTTTTACATGAATTATATTTCATTCCATACTTTAAATGCCAGGACGCTTTCAATTAATGTCTACCGGGTGTCCCAAAAAAAAGTACTCCGGTTTGATTTATAATAACTTCTAAACAAGTAAAGCTATCAAACAGAAATAACTTGCATTAAATAGAGGAAGGACTAACTTAGATTTTGATATATTACAGTTGTATTTTACTTAAAAAGTCACGGAGATATTAATGTTCAAAATCGGGAGCTTATTTTGGGATGTGTCTAAAATTAGCGAAAATCGGCATATCAAATATTAACTTCAGCGTTTGTTTGCTTGATGACATATCAGGCTAACTTGTATTTCAGCGAAATGTCGTTAGGGTTTGCAAGGGATGTGGCGTAGATTTAGACATCTTACATGTAAGTCTTAGCTCATTGTTTCCTGAAATATGAACGTACGAAATTATGCAAGTATTTAATAGGTCTTTACAAACTTTACAAATTTATACGGTACATGAAAGATCATGCAAGGCAGGCGCTTAAATTTTTCTTAGCCTAATTTTTTTATGTTTTTCATGGGTTCAAAACAGAGTTGATTATTTCTCGGTTAGAGCAGGATGAATATTATTCTGCAATGAAGGAAATAATATTGCTTTTTGCAAATACACATCACAGTATCAACGCTACTATTTTGTTACGTTTTGTTCCAAAAATGTTGGATGTCTCCAGGGAGTTGCATGCTTAATTGTTATGTCTGATGGAGTTGTATGGCCTTGATTGTGTTTCATTCTCAGTTTATCCTGAACTTAAAAAGATTAAGAAAAGGCAAATGAGTTTGAGTGTTCTTAACAAGATTTCAGAACGTTGCAGAAGTTAGAAGAGCTTCACAATTCCATTGTGACAGCATGCCCTAATTCAGAACTACGAACGTCCATGACGATCCTTCGCGATGCAGTGGTCTCATGAAATAAGGAAACGTATTCGTGCTAGGAACACACACAGATTTCGGACTTGTATTTTGTAGATAATAATACTTTGTTAGTCATAATAAACAATTTGTCAAGTGTTATTTATTTACTGGTAATCGTGCATGTTTCAGTCGGGCAAATCATAATTAATATTTGATACGCTGTTTTTTGCATATTTCAGACACATCCAGAAATATGCTCCCGATTTTAAACATTAATATCTCCGTGAATTTTTAAGTCAAATACAACTGTAATATATCAAAATCTAAGTTAGTCCTTCCTCTATTTGATGCAAGTTATTTCTCTTTAAAAGGTTTACTTGTTTAGAAGTTATTACGAATCAAACCGGAGTACTTTTTTTTGGGACACCCGGTAGTCTACCCATTTGCTATATTTTCTCGTTTGTTTTACTAATTTTTGACCAATTAATAAGCATGTTTTTGTTTTAGAAATTGATATTCAAATTCCCCGCCATATTTTCATAATTTGGTGCATGCGCAGACGTTTTTCCGCGGTGTTGCTCCCCCACTGATGGAATGTGTTGATATGCGCAGAACGGACTTTACAGCATCTTTAAAATTGAAGAAAAAATCATTATACGAGAACTGATCTTTTATGCAAATTTTTAAATTTTTAAAACGGCCGGAAAAAGACAAAATTTGAGCTTAATTATCCAAAGCACGCTGTCACCATGGTAACGGACTTTCAGCGCAAAAGTAGTAAATTGCAATGTTCAGGAGAGCATTGTCAATATGTCCAATAAATTTCGTCTTCGTGTCATGTAAAGTGAAGAAACAGGAGTTTTCTGGATACAAAAGTGTAGTATAATGCAAAAACCCTATGGAACCACCTTAAAATAGTTTTTTATTATTATTTTATGACTACAGAAATCACTCGTGGTCATTCGTGGTCACTCGTGTGTACTTTTAGACAAAACCAAAAATTTCCGTGCGTGATACTGTATGAAATACAATGTAGTTTTATAAATAGCGCTGCAAAGCTTGGACATTTGGGAGTAGAAAATAGGCGGACGTGGACGGTGGATCGCGGAAGACAGAGCATTTTGTAAACACATGCATGATTCACCCGTTCGAATCCTTAGCAATAATTTTTTAATCAGCATTCAATACGCATGTATGATACGTCTTTCTCGGCAAACTTTTGGAAATATTGTATAGATGTTTACGGGGATTATTTTCATTATAAAGTCCACACTATTTAAAGTATGAAAATGTCTTCAAGTGAATGTCATTTACAGTAATAGCCCTGGCTAACAAAAGCTCCAAAACTAAGGCGCTTTTTTATAGAAGTTTCTCGAGAAAGACGGCGTATAGCCATCATACATACATGTTGAATGTTGATTAAAAAAATTCATTGCTAAGAATTATTCGAACGGGTGAAAACATATTCTTTTTACACGTGTACGGCTATACTTTAATTTAGGGTATTATAATTAGTTGCGGTAGTCGTCCTGACCGCGTAGCTCAGTTGGCAGAGCATTGGGCTAGTATTCCAAAGGTCGTAGGTTCGATTCCAACCGTGTCCCGGCATATTTTTCATTATTCTTGTCGCTGAATCCTCATTGCAGTAAAGAACGTAAACATATTCATACTGGTTAAAATAAACAGCAGCTTTGGCTTTTTTTATTAAAATTGTTGAATTTTTCTCGAAACTTATAATATACGGTTATTTATTGATAATTTGGGTGAGAATTGGCAGGAGCCTTATGGATAATTTGGGTAGAAATTGGCAGCTCATTAATATTCTATTTTGTGGTTATCGACGACGATTCGAGAGATCCTCCACAAATGCGTGTCGAAACCTATACTCGCCAAGGCACAGCAAATTCTTCAAAATTTGTCATATAATAAAAATCCTGTTGAATGGTTTGCCATATAATATACATAAAACTCTTTGTTAATTTGTTAATCTTGTTTTAGGTAAAGCTTTTTCCATTTTAAAGTCACATTTTCTACCCGAAGTCAAATTTTACTTTAAGTAGCGCGGCCGCTAAGTTGTTCAGGCAATTTTGTTTGAAGCAATATGTGACCGTTACTTGAGGATTGTTTAATTTAAGCTGATTGGTTGATTTTAGATCCCATTATTTTTCCACCAATCAGATCAGTTTGTTACAGATTTTTGCACTGTTTGCGATTAACTGCACTGAAATCAACCAATCACAGTCGAGTAATATTTTCATGTACTATGCACAGCATGAGCGGCCGTGTTGTATCGAATATGCCGCCACTCTAGCCGAAGCCGAGAGTTTTTATATCGATACAACATGGACGCGATTGTTGTAAACCGCTTGTGAAACGTCTTGATGAGAACATTTGTAAATGAATGATATTTGGTGAGAAAATGGAACTTAGTTTATTGTAATTCAAGTATATTATTTTACAAGTATATTATTATTTTGAATATAATAACTAACATTTTATATGCTTCTCATTAGAGCGGGAAAACATGGAGAAAATGTCCTATTTGTTACGAGTCAATCCACCAGAAAGATCTTAAGAGGTAGATTTTTTAAATTTTACTTGAAAAATACAAGCAGAAAGGATTGTAAAAGCTGTGGATGAAGCTTAGTAATGATATTTGATCTTTTCTGAAGAAGGGGCTTGCCCTGAAACGTAATTATATTTTTTTATACACGGTGTGTCAAAGTAAAGTAGAAATTTTGAAACGGCTCTCAATTAGCCTTTCTCACGCCGCCATTTTTGGATTATCATATAACTCAAATCTGTCCTGTCCTGTCCGGATTTTTCACGTGACACTTACGACTCCATTCCGAACGATTCCGACCATATGACGGTTGTTTGTTTTGAAAATGGCTTTGACAGGGAGTGAGAACTTCGCGTGTTTTAAATTTTTGCTCTTTTTGGTCTGGATTTGTGGGACAATGTGACACCACAAATCGTGAAGAATGTTCACTTTTGTTTGCTGTATGAATCAATCAATTAATCAATCAAGCGAATGTAATGTAAATCTGTATCTACATTTTGTTTCTATTTAATACCAAATCTATACAAGTAACTAGTAGTACAGTCTGTAGACTTAATTCACACTCAGAAATATTATGCAGATTTCAAATTTGTTCCATCGTCTACTCTGTAACATATTAGCTTTATTAGATTATTTGGTTCATTTTTATCTTTTGTTTGCTGTATCAATCAATCAAGCGAATGTTATGTTAATCTGTCAGTGGTTTTTTCAGGATTTTCTCTTGGGTCCGTTTTTGCAGAGAAGATTTATTTTTAATGTCAATGTGTTCGATAGCAATTTTGCAACATGTATTTGTTAACCCCACTTATTTTATTTGAATTATGATTGGCGGAACTTGACATAATATAATTCTCGAATTATATGACTTTAATCTCAGGAAAAATAGCTTGTTCAATATTTTAAAATAGCAGGATCAAAATGCAATTCAGGTGTTTATAACCACAGTGTTGTGATTGAACTGTTTGAACATGCAATCATGCATGCATGAGAGTAGCAGAAATTGTAAGAATATGTATTTGGTAGACTAAAAAGATCATGCAGTATAGTGATAAGACATTAATGAATTTTCATGAGTAACCAATCTTTCATGACATATCCAACTTGCCGATTTATCGCAAATGTAGATAAAGTAGATCCTAAATTTCTCTCACACATGAACTTGATTTCCTATGGTGTGCCCAGTAAGGTATTGATAATGTATACGGGCCAAATTAGTGTTTGTTTTATTAAAGAGTGCCCTGAAATAGCTAGAAAGGAAGTTTTATATAATCTACTTTTGAATGATTGAATACAGTTTAATGTGACGCTTTATTGAAACCCAATCCCCGAATCAGAGGCCCAATCTGGCCGGTTGATTAATAACCTCAAGATGGTAATAAAATTGACATTGAAATCGAAATTGAAATACAGATCGATTTAGCGTGAATAGTCGATACATTTGGCGTTCGACAATTACTATACCCGAATTCTGTGATAAAATAGATGAAGTTAAAGCATTTGGTTGGTTTGAAAAGCGAAATATGAAGCAAACGTGTAAATTCACCGCATACTTACGCACCAAATGCATGTGCATACATATACATTCATTTGATATACGAATGATATCAAATGACGCTTGTTGAATTCGTGTATGGCCTCTCGATCTTGTTATAATTCCCCCAGCGGCGGCTTCATTTAACTTCATCGGTTGAGCCAACGTATTCCTTTGTCCACCAGAAAGGTAAAAGCGCTTGACCACGGTAGAGTTATACTTGAATAGACTGCGTCTCACTGAATCACACATCGATACTTGAGCCAAGGTATTCCTTTGTCCACCAGAAGAGTAAAAGCGCTTGCCCGCGGCAGAGTTATATTTGAATAAACATCGTCTCACTGAATCATACATCAATACATGAGCCAACGTATTCCTTTGTCCGTCAGAAGAGTAAAAGCGGTTGCCCGCAGCAGAGTTATATTTGACTGATAAACTGCGTCTCACTGAATTATACATCAATACTTGAGCCAACGTATTCCTTTGTCCACCAGAAGAGTAAAAGCGCTTGCCCGCGGCAGAGCTCAGAGCTATATTTCAATAAACTGCGTCTCACTGAATAATACTGTGTTACTGACCGTTGTTTTATATCCACGAAATATCTTTTCCAAAAGTATAATTTTGAAGTACTTTGCCACAGAGATCATACAATTTTGCTTGCAAGTGACACAATGAGGCTTACTGATCCAAGCAGGAAACTATGCAGACGAAGAGGTGAAACCTGATTGGTCTATTTTCCCGCACGCATGGGAAGAGATTTGACAATGGTTTGTTGTTAATTCAGCCTTGCGCTTTGCACGTGTATGATCACACGATTCACAGATTGACCTTTGTACCAGACCTTTGTACTCCAGGAGACTTTGCACAACTTTACTCTTGTCCTAACGCTTGTTTCATTAACTTAAGTTTATAATGCTATGGGCATGTATAAACTTGCTTCTATATTTATCAAAAATTTCATGAAACGTACAGAGTTGTGAAATTGAGAGCCGTTTCAAAATTGTCTACTTTTTTATACACCCTGTATGTAATACCGTTATACGTACTGTAAAAATTTTGAGTGAAAGTGAATATAATTTTAGCACGAAGTTTGCATCTACTAGATCTTTAAACAATTTGAAATTGCATGGTATATACATGCGTACAGTTAAAATGTTCTTGTTATGGTACTGTACCCAGTACTAATATAGTGTTCCTGTTCTTCATGTAGTGTTATGGCAGTTGCAGAATGCACTTATTCTATTGGTCAAGAAATAACAATGACTTTGATGAAAAGAGCAAAGGATTCTTTACTCACTATGCCAAACATGAAATGGTCAGAAAGAACGTCTATACCACAGCTTTCATCTGGTAAATACTTTGTTATGTATTTGCCATGGTAGTAAATTTTATACCTCTTTGATACTATTAAGTCGAATTGCGCCATATATCATTATATTACTCTGTCTAATGCCAGACAATTTTATCAATGGGTTAACGAAGCTGCATTGACAGTACACAAGAGAGGGGTCAAAATTTACTCTGTTCCGTATATACTGTATTATAATATAAGTGGGATACATGCGATTTGATTGGCTAATACGCGTGCATTGTTAAATGAACGCGCGACTCGCTTTCTATTTGTTCAGTAAAATGCCGGACAGAATAGTAAACTTCATCACGTTGACATTCCGTTTGTCGATCTTATATTTAGGCGTACCTTGCAAATGTCAGGGACTTTAGTCATGGATCTTCAGAATAGCAAATGTAATAGCATGGTTAAAAATCATTCCTGTTGTATACTAGGAACAAATGTAAATTATAGTCCATCTCTTAATTAAATAGATGAGGTTGAAATGCAGTTTTCAAAGCTATTGATAGCATCTCCATTGGATATTCTCAATCAGGTAAAAGTATATATTATAAACGTCAAATGCATGCATGTGAAAAACATTTGTAATTGATCATGTTTCGCTCGCTACTCTGGTTTGGGTTAAATGATTACAAAGCCCAGTCGTATTGTAATCAGGACCCAACGTTTCGACACTCCAGTTTAGTTAGTGTCTTCATCAGGCGTGATCTAAATTTGCAATTATGGCTTCTTAAATACCCAAGGGATGACGTCACCTGCCAATGATATGCATGTGTTCCTCTGGCAAATAGGCACCGTCATCCCAATTCAAAGCATGATTACTCATATTTATATGCCGTGCTTCTAGGCATGGTCGTTGACCATTGCGATTGTTTGTGCTAATTACATGAAGGTTAAAAGCCAAGGGAGAGGTTTTTATTAAACTGTGAAGACCGAGGGCCGAAGGCCTGAGGTCTTTACAGTTTAATAAAAACCGATACCCGCGGCTTTTAACTTGTTTATATACTCATCGACCATATTCTTTTGTATTTCTGAGGTTTTCTTCATTAAATATTCAAGCTATCAATTCAATGAGAGGTTTAATACGGTTGTGGGACGAAATAAGGTGTCAGGCTTTAAAATGTGGTTAAGCATGCACAGTATATCATTTCACGTCCCACAAGCGAAAGAGCAGATATTACTGTATAAATTCCCTGCACAAGCAAGTTTGATGGTTGATCCAGCTAGTCCTCGTGCGTCGAATGATAAATACTCTTACCTAATGGTAGAGTTTTGACACGGGCTCTGAGGTACACGGCTGTTGTCTAAAGTTGAAACAGCCTTTTGAAAAGCTAAAAAGGCTAAATGTCCATCCATCTCACGTTCTACCGTGAATTGAATTTAAATGTTGATTTTAAGTGATAGAATTTAAATGTTGCAGCAGAATATCGATTTCATTTCTAGAAACCGCAGAGATGATGACATCGACGAAACGTTTCCAATACGATAGAGATACAGGAACAGAGGCTCGACATTTTCCATTACTAAATTAGCAATTACTGCCGATACTGGTGACCTCATCGCTGTTCCAAAAACCTGTCGATAATAACAGCCCTCAAACAGAAAGTATGTGGTGTTGAGACAAAAAGACAGAAGATCAATGATATCTTCTACAGGCAAGGATGTTCTTTGCAACAAAGTGGCATCCTGTTTTTGTCGCAACCTTGATGGCAAGATCAACTAGGATTTTTGTAAACAAGGAAACGACATCAAATGATACCAACACTTGATCTGCTTTAAGATTTTTACCTCTTACAAATTTTGCAAAATGGAATATCCGGTTTATGGATTTTCGGTAAACCATTGAAACGCGGAATAGTCCATCACTGCTGTATAACTTTTCATACGTAGCCTTGCTGATAATAATTGGATTTCCTCAAGAGAAGTAACTTGGCGTTTAAAACTTTTCCAGTAGGATCAGACTTGAGAATCGAATACGTAGTCCTGTCATTCAACAGTGAAAGAGCCTTCTCGCGATATTCATTTTTGTCCACGACATGCTTTTTTAAACACGATATTCATGTTTGTCCATAATCATGTTTTGAATAGGGATGACGGTATTCCCTTGGGTATTTAAGAAGCCACAATTGCAACTTTAGATCACCCCTGATGAAGACACTAGACTGGAGTGTCGAAACGTTGGGTCCTGATTACAATTCGACTGCGCTTTGTGATCATTTAATTCAAACCGGAGTAGCGAGCGAAACATGATTGATATACCTGGTTGCAGTGAACGAACAAACTTTAAATTGTAATTGATGTTCTTAATTGGACAAAATCTCAATGGTAATTCTGATTTTGCCTTCTAGATAATGGATAATTATAGAATTGAATTAAAAAATCAATTGATAGAAGTTGAAAATGATAAGGTATATACTTATTATTAAATTAACTCGAATGATCTGTGCCTGCGTATAGGGAATGACAATGACACCAGAAAGCATCGGATTGAGGGGGATTCGACTACCTGAAAAATACACGACGTTTCGAATAAAGGCCTTTTGTGAGGAAGTTATAGCAGCATGGATCGGGAAAGTGCATGTGCTTTTATACTAGTGTCTTTATAATTATTCACTTCTACAATTACTTGTATAAAAGCACATGTGTTTCCCTTCCCATGCTATTATGACTTCCCGACGAAGGGCCTTCGCTCGAAACTTCGAAGTTTTACTTGTACTGTATTTTTCCCCGAGTCGACGGCGCCGTGCGAGGGTACTAATCCCCCCCCCCCCGGCTATTTACACCCGGGGAAACGAAAGCATTAGCGAAGTCTAAAGTTCATCAAATATCTTGGGCGTGGGTCACCAACGATGTTTCGGTGGGTGGTCATCCTCACTGATCTCAAAATATGGCGGACTGTCTTGAATAACGAACACTGATTGGTCCAATTTAAAGTTTGCATTATAACGACTGCATGACGACAGCGAAATAGCAAACATTTCTTGATTTGATGATTGATAAATTTCTTGCAAATATATTTCATTTTTGCTCGCATTTTTGCAAGATTTTGTAAATTTCAAAAGCTTTCTCAGAAAGGAAGAACGAAAGAATCGGATAAAAGAAGGGAGCCGACGTTAACGAAGGTAAGTTTGTTTAAATATTAATTTTATAATTGCTTTAAAACCCGACGGCCTTTGCATATATGAAACAACTATTAAAACAAGACAGCATATAATTTCAGTGTATCTTTAATATTGATTCCCTTTTTTATTATATTGAATTTTTTAAATTAAAAAGAAAGCAAAGTTATTTGCATGCGAGAATTTGAAATCATTTTATTGAAAACTCAAAGTTTATCGATAAAGCCATTTCTGAATTAATAAAGGCAGTTTAGTTTTATAAAGAACACTTTAAAACGTTTTGCGAAGCGTTTGTTGTTGAATTTTACCTTAAATTGAAGCTTATATTACGTATAATAACATACCTAACATATATATGTTAGGAAATTGAAAATTTTGTAATTGAAAGTGATATTTTTAGGCGATTTTTCATTTGTAAAAATATTCTTAAAAAATTATCGTGTTACCATGACAACAACTTTAGATACTTCATGTTCGGAAAATGCAATGGTTTTGCCAGCAAGGCTATAGGGTTTCTGCATGCATGTATTTTCTAGTTAGGTATTTGAATCTCTCTCAATCCGAAGTTTTTGGGTCATTTTTCATGAATGTGCATTACTGTAGTTTATTTTATTAAGTATAGCCTCCTTCCCCCTCAATATAGTACTTTGTACATATTTCGAGCACTGATAAAACTGATAATCTCACATGTGAGATTATTTATGATAATTTTACATGTGAAAATTATCGCTTTTCAATTATCGCTTTTCTGTAAGAATTATCGCTTTTCAAAGACTCTCCTTTATACAATAAACAGAAAAATACATGCGTGCTTGGAAATACCAGATTTATTTCATGTCGAAATAAATCTGATATTTCCTCGCACCCATGTATAATTCTCTTTATGCTATCTTCTATTGTAGTCTGGAGAGGAAGAATTTGTTAAGTTGGCTATCGAACAGTTTGAGGTACAATATATATACATATATATTTTTATATCGTCTCTTTGCCTTATACTAATGATATTTGTTCAGTATAAATGTTACTGAGACTTTAAAATTTTGTTGCTTTGTGTACAGGAAAGAGAGAAAAAGTTGCTAGATATTTGTGACAAGGAACCAAAGGTTATTAGCACTGATTCAGGTAATATTGTGGGGAATCTCCCAGAAACACTGAATGATTCGCTTTCTTCAATACACATTTACACTTTAATAAACACAACTTTACAAACATAAATAAAATGGTTTTCTTCGCCTCAATATAAACCTGTACTGTCAGTCCAACGTGTCCGTTTTTCCCGATTAATTCCCAAAATAATTAACATAAATTATAATGTTTAATATCAACACCAGTCCCAGTTCTTACAATATTTATTGCTCGAAATTTCCTGATATGCCTTTTCATTCAGTCACTTGATTTTTGCGGTGAACGCAGTGAAAAAGTGTCCGCAAAACATGGCGAATTTACGCGCCATTATTACGCCATATCTGTGACAACTGGTTCCTCCGGCTCATGGAATTACCGCTGACCAGGCTCAATTCTGAGCCCGGTACAATTTTCACTCCCCCCTGGTTTTATCAAAAATATTTTTGCTTTTCGAAGTTTTTGCAGTGAATTCTCGTTGTTTATTTATTTTTTCGACTTTTGACCATTTGTTCAAAGATTTAAATGTCGCGTACGGTATTTCTCGCCCACGAAAGACAGCAAACCAGTATGAAAACTCTGATGGCAGAGCTAACAGGTAAATGTTTCACATACTGTTGAGATGCTTTTATTTTTAATTTTTAAAAGATAGTACGTGGGAGTAAATGATAGAATATAATCCATTAGATAACAGGTTCATTGTATAGTATAACGTATATTAGTAAAAAATACAGAAACTTTGTTTTATTCAAAAAAAATGTTTTGTTTTTTTTACTTTACTTTTTCAAATTGTTGGCTGGCAATGGTTTTTGTTTTTTTTAATTCAGTTAAATCAGTTTCTTCCCTCAGATCAAAGGGTATAGACTGATGACTGAAATCTGACATGCCTGATTTTATGCAATTTTATGTCCTGCATGAATAAGTGTATATAGTATCTACAGGTGTAAAGGCATGAAACAATGCGTATCTATATTCGTTGTGTTTTGTATATACTAGATTCTTTGTTTCTTATAGTATGCATAACTGTCTCGGGGTGCCGGAAGAAGCTAGGTGTGCCAGAAGAAGCTAGGGGTGCTAGAAGTAGCTAGGGGTGCCAGAAGCTCTGGGTGCAAATAGATTATAGCATGTTGGGTTGAATTGGATCTAATTACAGACCAGAAATGAGGTCACACATGTTAGTCAGACATCAAATCGGAAACAGCAATAAATTGGTAGATATAAAGGTCACTTCCAGTCCCAGGTGGATTTATTTGGGGTTTTCTTCATCTCAGTTCTCTTGCTGTGCACCCTTGTATGATGCAACTACCTGATCAAGACTTAAGAAATCAATGAACTTCAACATTTTGAGTGAAAGACCTATAATTTTCTTTTTTCAGGTAGTTGCATCATACATTCAAGCCTTCAAATAGTGTTGTGGCTTAATAAACTGCTTTTCTTCTCATTTCTTTTTTCACTTCTTATTCTTTTGTCTTTTAGTGAAACTTTAGTTTTGCAGAAGTATTTGATGGTGAGACAAAACTGAGATAGTTCATAGTTACATTTTTTTAATTCAACTTTTTTATTAAAGAATAATCATTAATTAGAAAGAATTAATTTTGTCAGCTAAAGTACCAAGACAAGCTATTGTTATGACTTTGTAGCCAGATGGGTATGATTTTGCTTTGGCTGTTCAGCATTTTGATATGTCTTGTGGTACCTGTGAAAGGTTATCCCTGCAACATGAATGACAGAATATAACATTAATACATAATTGAGATACATCCTTACACATGATTAGTTCGTCATGGCGGTTAGACGTGTTATTTTGAACACCGCTAGCCCGAGTCAAAATTTAGCTAGTTCGTTACTTGACTTTGCCAATAATGATTCCCTGAGTACAGGTGAAATTTACCGTACCAGAAAGCAAACCGAATCGACATTTAAATCGCTTGGCCTATGCTGGACGGGTGATTTCGAATCACTAAAACACTTTGTAGCTGACTCTTTGAAGCTGAATGGTACCTGGTCTCAACCTGGAGGCGATAAAAAGGTTATTGTTGCTGAGGACGCTTCTATCATATGGAGGAAGAATAAAAACATCCTAACTATTGAAGGAGTAAAGGAAAATCAACTAAAGAGGGAAGTTTGCAGATATATCTGCGACTATTCGAGCGAATCGTTTGATGCTTCGACAGAAATTGAGGATCTCAAGCAAGGACAGCAGTCGAATGAGGAGGCAATTCAAGCATTGTCGGACACGATTAGTCATATGGGCGCTGTTGTTTCGCAATTTCAGGACTTTATGGACAAAAATAATAAGAGTATTGGCGAGAAAAAATATGACCGACCTGCCGAATACAAAAATCTACATGCTGGACATGTAAATGAAATGCGTGATCGTAACGCTAATGACGCCGAAGGGAATAAGTCTATCAATACAGAGCAATTAGAAAGTATTATTATAAACGATTGGGATAACAGCTTATTGCCTAATATCACAATAGCCTCTTGTGATGCAGAACCCATCGGTAATAAAGGTCAAAATATGCGAACGATTGATAAATTGCATACTACGAACAATGGGATTATTCCAATCAAGGTGAACAATGGGGGTGAGTGCAATGTAAACGAGGGCGAGACTAATGACCCTGTTATCCTGGTAAACCCATTAAACCTCATTGAAACTGATAATGACAATCTAAAGCATAAGCATGGTAATAATCCCATTGTGTCAGCATGTTAATAATCCCATTGTGTCAGCAGAAGTTGCAACCTCTATTAAATACGATAATAAACAAGTAAGAAACAACAATCAAGCCACTTTTGCGGAGGTTGTGACATCTTGCCCTGCATTTAATACCTGCAACGCACTTGAAAAATCTCCTACCAATAAATCCCAAAATAATTCTCTGCAAATAATCAATGATCCATCTAGTGACTCTGCTGACGGGTTTATTGGTGTTGACCGGAGACGTAACAGAGTTAAGAAATTCCTGTTAAGCGGGATAGCTGAAAACGTAAAAGAATGTCAAATTGTTTCCTATCTGAAACAACGGAATATAACACCTACATATATTTCCGTTTTTCCAAGCAAAAGAAAAGGTACGACATCGGCTAAAATCCATTTTCGTTCGGCCGATTGTTCGCTAGTGCAACAACAAAATTTCTGGCCTCAGTTTGTCAACTGCAAGATTTGGCAATCAAAAGGAGAAATTAGATCTAATATTACCCATAACGGGAAGTTCTCAACTTATGTATAATGGAGCAAATAGAAGTCAGAGTTTCGTCACGTAATTTTGGTTGCCGTGTGAGGCAAAGAAGGCGTACAGAAACGCGAGGTGTCAATTATAACAATCTAACCCGTATTAGATGCACAAATAATTATAATGAAAAAAAATTTTAAAAAACAAAAACAAAATAAAGCTATACTCCCGAGAATTTGCTGCTTGAACGCACCCTCAATTAATGGAAAGGTTGATGAACTTGCAGCATTTATGTCCGTCAACAAAGTTCATATAGCCGCAATTACGGAGTCTTGGTTGACTGATGAGATAGGGGACGATCAAATATCGATTGGTGGTTATGTAATTCATCGTAAGGACCGGACACATGGCCGTGGGGGTGGGGTTTGCGTTTATGTGTCTCAGCAGATATCCATTACGCGATACTTGGAATTAGAAGATTTAAACCTAGAGTGTATGTGGTTGTGGGCTCGACCACCACGCCTACCGAGACCGCTATCTGCAATCGCAGTATGTGTAGTGTATAATCCACCGGACAAAAGTGTGCAAGAACAGAGGGAACTTTGCGATTACCTTGTGTCCTCTATTGATACTATACGCTCTAAATACCCTGATTGTGGCATAGTCGTTTTAGGCGATTTTAATCGTCTCAATATACAGGATTTAGTTACAAGTCACAACCTTAAGCAAGTCGTCACGCGTCCGACTAGACAAGATTCAATCTTAGACTATATTATTACGAACTTGAAATCCTTTTACAAAACACCCGGATATTTCTGCTCCACTTGGAACATCGGACCATAATGTAATCATGTGGATCCCAAAAGACATTTTTAAGGATAATAATAATACGTGTACAAAGCGGACTGTGCGTCGGTATCCTCAGTCAGGTTTGAATGGTTTTGGTTTATGGTCAACCAGGAATAAATGGTTTAGTGGACTCTGACTCAATCCATCGTCGGATGAGTTAGCGTCATCTTTTACCAATGATCTGAACACTGCATTCGATCATTTTTTTCCAGTGAACACAATCAAATTTCATCCCACGGACAAACCATGGATTACTGGGCACATAAAGCAACTTATTAAAGAACGCCAACGTGCTTTCCACACTGGCGACGCGCAATTGTGGCGCCAATACAGACGGAAGGTCCAGATAGAGATTAAAACCAGGAAAAATAATTTCTATTCCCCAAAAAATCCATAACTTGCGAAAAGACGATGTTCGTCAATGGTGGCACACTATTAACACAATGTCAGGTCGAGCGAAAAGCCAACCTCAGTTCACAATTGAGCGTGACGGACAGTTATTATCGGAAGGTGAACTGGCAGAGTCTCTAAATGATTACTTCGTAAGTGTAGCAAGTGATATCCCACCACTTGATATTTCAAGCCTTCCAACATTCTTACCAGCTGCGGTGCCGCCTCCTACAATTCATCCTCATGAAGTTTGTGGTAAGCTCTTAAAACTTCAGACTAATAAGGCTATGGGCCCGGACAGTATTCCACCACGAATTTTAAAAGAGTTCGCCTACGAACTTGCTGAGCCAGTTACATCAATATTTAATACATCTTTGTCCTCTGGACTAGTACCTGTTTTATGGAAAGATTCTACCATCATACCCATTCCTAAAGCGAAACAAACCCAGGTTGAGAGCGATACCCGCCCCATTGCACTTACCCCTGTGTTATCGAAAGTACTCGAAGACTTTGTGGTTAGTTGGATGGTTGAGGACATAGGTGGACAAATCGATAATCGTCAGTATGGCAGCCTGAAGGGAACATCTACCACCCTTTGCCTTCTAGATCTTATCCACAACTGGCTTTCTAAAATGGACAACCCAGGTCATTACCTTAGAGCTTGCTTTCTGGACTTTAGCAAAGCTTTCGATAGAATAGACCACAATATTGTTATAACAAAATTGATCGATTTGAGAGTGCGCCGTTCAATAATCCCTTGGATTTGTAGCTTCCTTTCAAATCGCCGCCAGAGTGTTAAGCTGGGACAGTACGTGTCCCGATGGCTTTCAACTAGTGCTGGGGTCCCACAGGCTACCAAATTGGGTCCAATCCTTTTTGTCATAATGATTAATGATTTGAAAATAGTATCCCCGCGTTCCAGTAATTGGAAGTACGTAGACGACGTGACGATATCTGAGTTTGTTCCAACAAGGAGACAATCATCTCTTTACACTTTTTGGGGTTCAATTTCATATTATTGGTACTTGTCCAATTACCAATTGCGTCCAATTCGTTTTGTAGTATAGATATACTAAAAAAAAAAAATTAAAAAAAAAACCCGCCATAGGCGGCCGGCTATGACTTCAAGAGTAGCTCAAAATGACGTTTTTGTTGGACACATTTAAAGAATATGATTTGTTTGCTTGAAATGATTAAAAATATGATGTAAAAGATGTGTAAGCAAATTGGCCTACATCTCTGTATTTAGCGATAAAAGATGTTGTATCTAACGAATTTCCCACAATGCCATGCATAAAAAAGCATACCCAAGGCATCCAACAGAATCATTTCGGTCGTAAAATTGTGCTTGAGATGCAGGCGTTGTACCAATCTTTAGCACTGAAAAACAGAGCGGTGTCGAAGTTAAAACTACATGTATCAGATGATTTTAGTTATTTGGGTTTTTTAATCTAATGTGAATATATAAGTAATTAAGGTGCTAATTCACATTGTCAAAATCAAGTCCATCATTTTCATATGCATCCAGCCATGTCCATCTGGACCTCCTGCAGTTACAATTTGCACCCTACATCTACGTTTGACAGCTTTCGTAGTTTGCATGATGTATATGCTGCACTAAGCTGCCTGAAATGGGTGGAAGTGTTTCTTCAGTGCAATTTCCAATTTTAAAAAGGCTATGTCAAGCATTATCCACATCGATCTCATTCTCTTGTCCGTATAAGCACGGGCTTTAGGACAAATTCAATTCGACAACAATAGTATTCTATCTAAATAGCAGTTAAAATAAAGTGTACGGCACCTGAACTGTTCAATATCTTGCTTCTATATCCATAAAACATTTACATATATGCAAATACTGTATATTTTCAAAATCCGCCATATTTATTTACATTAGAACCCAAGCTTTCGCGGTTCACACGAAATATTAACGTCGGTGATTTTCACTAATAATAAGAGGGTAGGATTAAAGTGGGCGTTGTCACTCGCTAACCCAATCAGCTGTCTGGGTTCTGTACCACGTGACCTGTTCAAATCGTTCCGAGCGGGAGGAATCTTATGACATCATAACGGCTTCGATAAAATATTTTGGGGACACGTTTGTGCCATATAAGGAAGTTGGGGACACGTTTGTGCCATATATGGAAGCATGGTTTCCTCGCGCTTCGAACGATTAAATAAAATGGATGATCCTACCCTCTTATTATTAGTGAAAATCAACGACGTTAATATTTCGTGTGAACCGCGAAAGCTTGGGTTCTAATGTAAATAAATATGGCGGATTTTGAAAATATACAGTATTTGCATATATGTAAATGTTTTATGGATATAGAAGCAAGATATTGAACAGTTCAGGTGCCGTACACTTTATTTTAACTGCTATTTAGATAGAATACTATTGCTGTCGAATTGAATTTGTCACAAAGCCCGTGGTATAAGTAATAAACAAACTTTTGTAGATATGACATTGCACCCCTGATCAACTGTCATTTGTTTGCCCAGATCTTGAAAGGCACAAACATACTCGACTTTACTGCGTGCAACTTTGAGGCGACATGTCGTCTTTCCTTTTCGCGTGAATGAATTCCTGAAAGAGGAACTGATAAATGGTATTGTTTTTTCATCTTGTTCAGGTTCAGGAAACTTATTATGACAAGAATCTTGAGATTCTTTAGTTGAATTGCCTAAGTCAAGATCATTTTTCATTTGCACATGACTTTTTGCAATGTCACCAGATGACAGATCCTCCACAAGGACAATTTTATTGGTTTTTTATCTTCGGGGTTAATGAAAAATTAACTGGGGAAATCTTTGCTTAAAGGACATTGGCAATAAAAAATTAGTTTAGTTCATTTGAAAGAACTCTTAAAACTATATATTAAACTATATTACAGATTGTTTATATCTTGCTTAGTTTTCAAAATATTTCGACTGAAAAAAGTGAGCCGTTCGCCATCTTGGATTATTGAGGATATGCATGTTACGTCAAGAGAGGGGTCACGCTAATTTTTTATCTTGAGAGTAAGCGATCAATATGGGTCCAAAACTTCGTTTCTGGTTGCTGTCAGAAATTTAGAAACGATTAAAAACATTTCGAGTTAACTGTTTTCATGATTTTCGGAATTTTGTATGAGTTTCGACACACATCGCCAACATTATTACTCAATTTGTCCATCGTTTTCTTAAAGTAATAAGTTTTTCAAATGTTTTACTGCGAAAGCTTTCTAATTGTTCATCTTTGCTCCCAACGTGTGTCCATCAAAACGTGTCCAGCAAAATTAAACGATATCGGACTATAGCCTGCGGCTTACCAAACAACTTCCTCATAGATGCATCAATCTTATAATGAAAAGGTTCAAACGTTCAGACGTCTTGACAAACAAGAGCAGTTTATGATTCCCTCAATACTCCGCCTCGATGATTATTGAACGCGCAGGAAATTTCGTGTATTTGTAATTTTCTAATAAAATAAATTATACATTTTTGTCTAATTTAATTAAAGAAACATTTCCACTGTTATTGTGGTGACCTTTAAAGACCATGTCAAGTCCGTAATAACTGAATATCTAACTTTTCTGGTTCGCTATTGTAAATCAGTAAATGAATATATAAAACTGGAGTACGTTTCAATTCAAAAAAGTTCGAAAGATGCAAAATTTGGGCAATGTTTATACCTGTGGGTCCCCCTTTGTTATGAGCAGAACTGATGCGCAGAACGGACTTGACATGATCTTTTACAGTATATTATACCATGGAGCTATTTCATACATCAAATCAACGTTGCACTATCCTTGGGATCTTTGAGTTCTTGTTCATGCTTGAGCATCAGCCTAGATAAGCAAATTCCATTTGATTTGTGAGGGCATTTGTGATATTGGGTCATTACAGAAAAGATCCAGACTCCCACAGACACTACAAAAGAAGTTACAGCTGTGTGGAAGAGGGGATCCACTAGTAAAATGCACCAGGATATCTGAAGGGTAGGGAAGGGGGGTTGATACAAATCATGAAAATGAAGTTTACTATAGACTTATTGAGTGCCAGCACTCTCCCCTTATGAACAATTGAGTACCAGCGCTCTCCCCTTGACAAGTCTGGCATTGGGCTGAAGATTACAAAGTATAGGTTTATAAATGCTGAATTTTTTGAGGGTAGCAACTGGCAGGGAACTGAAAAGGTAGCTTGTATATGGGTTGTATACATACATCCTAAATAAATATACTGCTGCAAAACCCGGGAAACTTGCAGTTAAAAGTTGAAACCAACCAACATTTTAAACTGAATAATATAAAACAAAACAAAATTCGAAAAAGGATTTTGAACCCAAGATATGAGATTAATAATAATATAATAATAATAATATGACTTCATTTAAGCACGAAAAGTATAAGCTTGTGGGGATATGAGAATGAGTTTAAGAATAACTTGCATATGAGAATGAGTTTAAGAATAACTTGCTCAAACAAAAGTATAAATGTGGGGATATGAGAATGAGTTTAAGAATAACTTGAATATGAAAATGGGTTTAAGAATAACTTGCTCAAACAAAAGTATAAATTACAAAACTACTGTAATCTTATATAAACTAGCAATATTACATATTTACTGTTTTTAGCGGTAGTTTTTGACATAATGCATTTGTGCATTTTCCAGCTAAGTTGTCAAGCAACCCTGGCAAGCTTTGGCGAGCTAGAATTTAAAACAAAGTAAAAAAATAAATAAAACTTTCATGAATTTCACCTGAAACAAAATTCCTTTCGAGTGAATTGTTCCATCTACCAGCAGAGCAAAAACTGAAAACTAACGCACTTTTTCCTCAACTGCCAAAATATCAAGATTTTCTGTCGAAACTCGAAAATTATGATCAAACTTTTTGCAAAAACCAGGGGGGTGAAGGATTTTATTTCAAGCGTTGCGATTGCTGCCATGAGCCGGTGAGGAACCAATTGGCGTCAGCAAGCATGAAAATCCGCCATGTTTTTCCCAGTGACGATAATAATAATAATTGGGAGGGGGGGGGGATATTCATATATTTGTGTTCACAGACCATAAAAACAATCGATTTCAAAAGAAGTTAATAATGCAGAACACGAAGATATGAATATTCGCCCCCCAATTACCGAGCTGGCGGCGCCACTGGTTTTTCCCGAACACTTGTTTGACTGGCGGAAACATAAGAGCACGTCCTCCAGTAATACTATAGCTCAGTGGTTCAGCCACACTCCTGGGAGCTTCATATCCGACCGCGCAGATAAAAACAATAGAAACGTACTTGGTTGATGTCTAATTGCTCTTCAGTTACCGCCATCTTTGGCTTTAGTTTTTGGACACTAGTTCTCGCTCCAGGTATGGAGCTCACTTGATTTTTGTTGCTAAATTTAGGCGAAACGTCGAATCCAATCCTTGTTCCATTGCTGGAGGATACCAGTGGCACTATGAGTACACAAGGAGAAAGTGTGGATAAACTTGTGAATAAAGATTGTATTCGTGAAGCATTGCCTAGTGGTGCTGAAAACTCAAGTAATGAAGTTGTCCCTTGTCATATATCTATATCCTCTGGTGATTCTACTTGTTCCTCACTATCCTCTGAGAACGCTCAGTTCTATTACTTTTATCAAGGTAAGGTATTTGGTGCACAATCGGCACACGATTGAATCGTAACAGAGTGACAAATGTCCGACCAAAATTAAATTTGGACTTTTTTGTTTATTGCACTCCAGGCTCCGTTTGGTAATTCAAGTCAATAAATACTACTTTATGCCAAACACCACTCTAATGCGGTGTAGTTAAAACGCTTTTAAATTTAGCAATTGTGCGTTCTTTGCGGGATGATTGTACGCAGCTTATGCTTGATCCAGTTTTAAGAAAACCGATTGCTATTTTTTGTTTAGACAATATGTCAGACTAATTTTTAGCATGGACAAACTGTAATTTGGTTGGGAAATTGTTTCTGCGATAGCAGACTGATCTCAGCCGAACCTCACTGGAACGGCGGAGAAACAGCCTGCGATCAATCAACACTAATGCCGTACAGTTACGTAAGTTACGTACATAATTAATTTGAAATTATTCAAAAAATGTCAAATGTCATTGCCATATACATAACAATGTAATTTATGCAATTTTCAGCGTAATCACAAAGGAAAATTTCAACCAGGCCCTTATATAATCAGCCCCCATTATATAAGCGCCCTGATTTCTACCAATCATATTCCGTCCCCCCCCCCCCCGTTGTGTGGGGGCAACTGTACGGTATTAGTGATCGCAGACTGTTTCTCCGCCGCTCCAGGGGGGGGGGATCGGTGGAGATCAGTCTGCTGTCGCAGACTAGGAAATGTCCGACTCTGTCATATTTCAGGCTCCGCCATAATGCAACCCAATGCATGATACTTTGTTATTAGTGTTAGGAAACTTAACAGGATGCCAAGAACGTAAGAATAACAGCCATTACCACCATGAAATGATTGAAAGAAAACATTGCTACTCGTCGGTTTTAATGAAAACGTGTCATTTCTGTAAACAATGTATCTAACATTTAGTGTATAGAATTTTATATTTTCATCCTAATTCCTTACTATTTAACAATTATTCGCCGAAGGCGAAGGGATTACCGGTGAATATTCACCGTAATAACTGAGCCTGAGGCAGATAATTGTTTTAGTATAAATTTCTAATGAATAAAACAAAATATCCAAATGTCAGTTTAATTAAAATCAGAAATATAACTGTTTTCGGCCCGGTTTTACGGTTATTGTTTTAGCAGTGTTTCTTGTACACGCACGCTTTCAAAATGGCTTTCTGTGTGACTTTATTGCTTTATTAGAATTTGTTTTTCTCGATTTCTGCTTTATAGAATATAAGCACAATGATGAGACTTTTTCACCAGACTTAGAGAATTAAAATAAGTTTCTCTTTAGCATTAATTTGTTCAGGAAATGGCTGAGAAAATTGGTAAAGTGGAATCTAAAACTAGTATTGCTCGTAATACACTTTTTTCATTAAAACAAGTTTCGAAAACACAATAATCAGCGCCAGTACACCATACAGCACAATGAAAACATGACATCAAAATAAATAGTATCGTACAAATTGAGATATTTATAGGATACAAAACAAAATGGTTTTAAAAGAATATTACGGCAAGGTTTTTTTCAACAGTCGGGACAGGAGCGCCGGAGCCACGGGGGCAGCTTCCCCCGTTGCCTAAACAGTGCGGGGGCAGCACGGGGCAGCAGGTTGCCTTTTTTACCAGAACTGCAATTCGAAAGTTGTGCGTTTTTCACATGAATTGAAATTGAAAGCTCTTTTTAAATTAAACAGTTTAGCTTATATTTGAATCTGAATTCCTCTCAGAAACGTTACCAATCAGTTTCCAACTATGAAAAAAAAGGAAGCCTTCCTAAATAACTGACAACTGTCATGTTGCTTTACAACACATTTTAGTCTTTAGTGTCATGCAACGAATAAAAATGTTCCAATCCATGCCGAAATTTGTCTAACTGTATTAGCTACAGGTAATGAATATCCCTTATACAGCAAAATGTTAATGAACATTGCCCCCCCCCCCCTCCAAAAAAAATAAGGCTCAAGAGTAAGTGCCCTTTTTAAATGGCTGCCCCCGCCGCTTCATGTTGCTTCCGGTGCCCCTGAGTCGGGATATGTTTGACACAGTAAAAGTAATAAACGAATCCTACTTTTCAAGTTAAATTCAACATTTTGTACCCACAAAAAGATTTTGTTCCAAATTTTAAAATAATTCCATGTTTGGTCCGTGTTTTTTTATCATTTGCGTGTCCTCAGGGGAGCCCTTTTTCAACAGAATCCAATGGGTCATCCAGTAATAATCGATGCGTGGCGACGTTTCTTCGATTCTAGTTGAATTTCTCGTCGAATTTTATGCCCAAATGAAAGGGAAGCGTGTCTAGCCTGTGTGTATACTCTTGATTCGAGTTCAATTTCCCGTTGAATTTTATGCTCAAAGTGAACGCGAAGCGTGGCTGTGAACACTTGTTCAGTCTTCGAGTTGAATTTCTCGGCAAATTTTTATGCATGACTTTCAACTTCATTTTGTCTCGTCATAACCATATTACAAACGTTTGAAGTTCTTCAAATTTCAATGGCAAAATTTTCTATCAATTCACAAAAAGGTGACCGCGTGTTTCTGGAGACGATTTTTTCAATATTATGTCGATTTTGAATGTTTTTCTCATTAATTATTAATGATTTTTGAAGTTGTCTTATGTTGTCTTGTTGTCGTTATGCTGAAAATCTCTATTTTAAGACTATAAACAATTATTGGATGAGGCTGAGCATGATATCAAGAGTCATTCAGACGTCAGTCAATGTTTTCCTGCCGAAGCGAAGCTGAGGCGGATAACATTGACTCACGTCTGAATCATGTCATGCGAAAGCCGTCTCCATTAATTGCTTTATTATACATTTAAAGAAATCAAGAACGTATATAAAATGATTAAACGAAGTTTATCAATGTTTCAAGTATATATTACAACAACACTGCAGTAGAGTAGAAAACGAACATTTCTCTTAGTATTTTCAACTTCACCAAAATTTCACACAATTATTAAACAATCATGCAATTTGGAATCAAAGGTTAAAATCAACTTTACAGTTATAATATGCTTTGTCTTTATGTGCGTTTTCATCCAACGAAGCAAATCTACTATGAGCCATTTTGTTTGTTTTATTTTCGCTTTGGGTTTGAGTTGTTGCCGGGGCTTGGCCACGACAGCGTCCAATATTTTTTTTCGATGTAAGTTCGATCCAAAAAAACTATTGTTGGACGCTGAGAGCACGGCAGCATCAGAAATTACGTAATAAGTACCGAATATTGAGAATTATCCGGTGCTCTCTGGAAAAAAATGAAAAATATACATTTAGTATAAATATTTTTTATACATTTAGTATAAATATATTTAGTATATTTAATTATTATACATTTAGTATGGAGAAAACATACTAAATGTATAATAATTTTAGTTATCAGGCCTAGGCAATATTTAGTTAACCCATTAGGTTGCATTGTGCCCCAATGCACCCTACATTATTATTTTACTCTGTCTAATGCCAAATGTTTAATATTTTACTCGTCAAGGGGACAGTGCGGCCACTCAATGGGTTAATCAAACACAGAAAAGGCACTGAATACTGTTTCTCGAAATTGTTATATTTATTTTATTTCAGCTGAAGACGGTCAGCATATATTCCTTCATCCAATTAATGCCAGATGTTTGATAAAGGTATTGGTTGTTACAGTATATTGCATGTATTTGGTCGTGGATGCTAGTAAATGTTACGTTTGTGATTGACTTTGTCGTGCTTGACAAAGACTTAGTGTGCATTTTTTCTCCTATAAAAACAGGAGTATGGAAGCCTGGAACATTGTCCACAAACAATTGCTGGTAATATTGTCGAAATGGAGTGCCACACCCAAACTGAGGTACAGTCTGGATTTCCTTCTTATCCATGAGAATGATCGTATACGTCAATTATTTCAAACACTGGTAATTTTACTACATTCTTCCAAAGTTTTAACTTCAAAAGTTCATTCTAAGGATGTTAAAAAGCGAATTTTTTTCGTTTTTTTTTTCAAAATTTTGTCAAAACTATGCTGGGGTCACCTAGCCTGTGATAATGTCAATTTTTTTAAATCTTGAAGAAGCGCTGATTGGCTGTTGTGCCGCAATCATGAAATATTCATACTCTAGTAATCGTTGTAATAAATTTCCTTTAGAAATCTTGCCAACCTTTAAAATTTTCACCACATATTTTTGGCTGCCTACGATCATACAGGTGTTGTAAACTCGACCCAACAAGTAACTCGACGTTTATTCTTACTTTTTAAGGAACTACGTCGTCGTTTCCGCTACCTGCGACATTTACCTCTGACTTGCGAATTCGTGATATGTGAGTTGGATCTGAAGCAACCAGTCGTGTCTTGGGGAACTTTGAGTTATTTCAAAGGTGAGGAAGATAGTGATATTATCCCTTTTGTGTTTGATTGGCATGGAATGGCACAACATATAGGGCATATAATTAACAATTATACCATTCGCTCTCGTATATGTAAGAGTTAATTACCGAGAACCGAGGCATTTAGTCAAATACAGGCCGAGGCGCGCAGCGCCGAGGCCTGTATTTGACTAAATGCCGAGGTTCGAGGTAATTAACTGACTTATTACATGACTGAGAAGGTTTTCACAAAACAGCTCTTACGCTTGTGGGACGTAACACAAGTTTGAGTATGCGCACTATATACGCTTTAAAATGTGGTTAAGCATGCGCAGTATATCATTTCACGTCCCACAAGCAAAACAGCAGATGACACTGTATAAATTCCCTGCACAAGCAAGTTTGATGGTTGATCCAGCTAGTCCTCGTGCGCCGAATGATAGATACTCTTACCTAATGGTAGAGTTTTGACGGGCTCTGAGGTACACGGCTGTTGTCTCTTTCCCGACTGGAGACGGTTCAGCGTTTATCGAGTTGGGAAAGAGACTAACCTCTCATTAGGTACTTACCCAGATAAGTACATCATGAGTATAGTTTAAATGAGGTATTTATCTAGATAAATACCTCATTAAACTATTCATGAGGTATGTATCTAGTTAAATACCTCATGAATAGTTTAATGAGGTATTTATCTAGATAAATACCTCATTAAACTATTCATGAGGTATTTAAGTATAGGTTATTTTTTCATATATATCCCCATATGTGATTTATTCACCGAGGCGCGCAGCGCCGAGGTGAATAAACACATATCCCCGAGGTGCCTCAAAATAACGTACTTATTTTTCACACTGCGAGGTCGCGTTAATGAGTCAGGATAGAAATAATTCTTAATGCCATATTGCCGTCGTTATGCTGTTTTTTTTCTCATTTTTTGTGCTGCAAAGACATTGCAGGTGAATATTAGAGGGGATTATTAATATTAGAGGGGATTATTAAACGGAAATTGATTAGAGGGGAATATTGAATATATTCCCCGATAAGAACAAAGGAAACCGAGCCGGGTGAAAAATAACTAGATATATACCTCCTCATGTGTGCATTGAGCAATTCAAATTCATACATCAGCCCCGCTCTTCCCTGCTGAAAATCAAATCCCTCCCCGGGCTTTCAGATGGACGAGTAATTACGCTAGATACAAGGTCTTGAATAACAAAAGAAATCGACTCAATCGTGTAATAAGAGCTAATAGCCGACGAGGTGCGTAGCACTGAGTCGGCTATCAGCCATATACGACGAGAGCGAATGGTATAATTGTTTTATAATATAGTCTAATATAGCCATTAACTGAACCAATAATTATCCTCTGTTACAATGACAATGTCTTGACAATTTGTTCGGCCAAAAACCGCTTGGCCTTGAAAATTTGAAATACTTTTGTTTTACAAAGTGAAAGAAATGGTTTTAGAACCGGTATATCTCACAGAAAAGCTCAGATATATTATACAGATGTTTGGTAGTATAGTAAGTGCTTGTTGACTGCAAATTCATTTGTCTTTCGTTGCAAACTTTTCTGAACAATTTATATTCTCAATGAACATGTTTTTTTCGCTGTTGATTCGGTATTAATCCTTTAAAAAACTTGTATTTACACTAATTTCTATGGAATAAATGTATTTTGCTAACCTGTATGTATTAAATGTTTTGTTTACATGCAGTATTATTAAGGCCATCGCAATTTTACTTTACTCGATTTCTGAGTGAGTTGCGGATCAAATTCTGATGCAAAGCCCGATTTCGATTTGATAATTTGATTTGTAATTCCGTTATTCATCACTATGAAAAAAAGACCTTATTTGCAAGTTTTTGCAGTCCGGCTCTGTATGTATTAAATGTTTTGTTTACATGCAGTGCATTTATGCATCTGCTATTTTTAGCGCGCATGCCAAAAAACCATGCATTCAACCATTTCTATATGATGTTTGTGATGTTACTCTGAGTGTGCATCCACACCGGGCAAGCTGAAAAGCTTGCTTAGTCACGGTGGGAATCGAACCCGCGACCTTTAGGATACTAGTCCAATGCTCTGCCAACTGAGCAACGCGGTCAAGTCGGTTCGAGTTGGTTCCTGATATTCGAGAGGACACTGAAGTGGACGAAGAATATTCATGTTATTGTGGTAAAGTATGTAAGGGTTTAACAGGTTTACAAGCGCATAAACGTTCCTGTAGAATTCTCGACTTATCGGATATAAAGCTTTACTTGAAAACCCAATTGTGCATGAGGTAAATGCGGAGGAGCCGGTTGACGAAGAGCCATAGGGCTATAGAGTTGTAGGGTTGTAGAATTGTAGGGTTGTAGAGTTGTAGAGCTGTAGAGTTGTAGAGTTCTAGAATTGTAGAGTTGTACAGTTGTAGGGCTGTAGAGTTGTAGAGTTGTAGGGTTGTAGAGCTTTAGAGTTGTAGAGTTGTAGGGTTGTAGAGCTTTAGAGTTGTAGAGTTGTAGGGTTGTAGAGCTGTAGAGTTGTAGGGCTGTAAAGTTGTAGGGCAGTAGAGCTGTAGAGTTGTAGGCCTGTAGCTTTGTTGCCACGAACAGTGCCAAAATTCGCCATGATTACAATTTTAAATTTGTCTTTAGGCGAATGCCAAAAGTTGGTGGAATATGATATAGGCGTGCGTTTACAATTAACAATTATTCACTGAAGGCGAGGTGACCGAGCCTGAGGCGAATAATTGTTTTAGTATTTTTACACAAGGAAGTTACTGACAAAGAAATAAGTTGTACAGGTTTAATTACAAGTTTTCCAGTTTAAACAATTTCCTCTATTTGCCGACCGATATTTCAAGCAATGTTGCTGGGTTAGGGTTTACGTTAACCACGCATGCGTCATCAATTACAGAAAAATTATTAAACTTTGTAGATGATTTATGGGTATGCCCGTCAAGTGCCCAAGTATTTTTCGTTTCCCGTTAAAAAAACACAACTGTAGGTTTACAATGGTAGTACTTGGTATATGGTGCCAAACTTACGAAAATTGCTATTTAATTTGCCTTATAATGTGTGACTTTGCAAACTAGTAATAGTGTATCTTTTTCAGAAAAAATCTCAAATCCTGGATAGATGAACACCGCGAAAAAACGTCTGCGCATGCACCAAATTATGAAAATATGGCGGGGAATTTGAATATCAATTTCTAAAACAAAAACATGCTTATTAATTGGTCAAAAATTAGTAAAACAAACGAGAAAATATAGCAAATGGGTAGACTAGACATTAATTGAAAGCGTCCTGGCATTTAAAGTATGGAATGAAATATAATTCATGTAAAAAAATGTTGATTTTAACGGACACGACTTCGAAAATTTTTGCAAAATTATTCAAAACAAAAATTCAAACTAAAAAGTTAAGAAAACTCTCGAAAAGTTAAGCTTCTTAACCCACTCAAATTGTAGAATAAATCCTAAAGTTTAATTATTGTGAACACGCAAATTTTTTATATTTGGCGACACAGTTTTTTTTAAAGAAATGTATCTCAAACGAAAATTCGGAAATTGTCATTGCTTAGTTGATAAACAAAATGTTTCAGACGATAAATTTGTCAACAATCACCTTTAGTTCATGTTCTTGTACAATACAATTTCTTGAACCATCTGGCTGTATTTATTTCTAGTTTTTAGAATGACATGTTTATTTTTGCGCTTGAAATCTGGCTGTAAAGACGCACAATGAAGTCACTCCTTTTTACCGCCATTTTGAGCCTTCGGAAACGTTCGGAACAGCTTCTCATCAAGTTCGCAACCTAATACTATTACAGGTAAGGTTGACGCATGCGCAGACGTTTTTCCGCGGTGTTGGATAGATGTCCCTGATTTCTTGTTGTAAGGAACTATACGCACTGATTGTTAAAATATTTTGATACATAAGACTCTCACTTGCTTGCTTCGCGAGATTCGTACGAAAATCTGCTATTTACGGCAATTTCAAGCCACCATTTTGGACCCGTCAAGGTGTAAAATAACGATGGGCCAAATTTTACAAAAAAAGCTTTTTAACGGAAACCGATTTCTTTTTTCATACAATTACTTTCTACCCTGCTGGCAGTGGTTTCTGAGCTGAGGAGAAACCACTGCGAGCAAACGAGCGACCTATCGAGCATGCGCGAAGATCTATCACATGATGGGAAGTCACTAATTTGACTTCATTTCCTGTAGTTTGTTATCTGTAAACAAGCGTGGCATACTACTCTTTTATTTGTTGTCTGTCAGTTTTAATCGAACGACTTTTTAATTCTACAGGCAGTTCACAATTTATGTATAGGTTTTAATCTCGTTATTGCCAGTACTAAAATATGTTGAAATCGGTGCCTCACCCTACGGCTACAAATTGTGCATTTGAATTTCTGTTATATCTTTTTAAAATTTTGTATCAATATCAATTTTTTTATTGCGGTCTAGGAACTTTATTTGTGTTACTTAAACGTTGGAGATTGTGTTAAGGTTTTCGTTAAATTCCAATTCCCAAAGTTTCCAAATAATGTAATAACGTTTCCAATTACTGTTGATTTTGACAATTATTGCAATTTTTGATCGTCGCGACATCAACCGCTACAAATTTCAACCGATCAAAGATCGTTGCGACGTGCGGCGCTACTATTTCTGTAAAAGGTTGATTTTTGTTTGCAGTGCATAGTTATTCTGTTGAACGCTAGGCAGTTTTCAAGTCATCTTAATGTATAATTTCTCACATTTTATTCAATATTTTGTAAAGCCGTTATAATATTTTGTAGTATATTTATAGCGTGTTACTATATTTAGAGTGTGATGTTGTTTTTACCAATGCACAACAACAAAAACTTGTCAAACTTGTTTTACCGGTTTAAAATTTAATGTATTCGTCCATGAATCTGGACTGCGGCTACATGAGACGATCGTTCGTTTGCTCGCAGTGGTTTCTCCTCAGCTCAGAGACCACTGCCACCAGGGTAATTACTTTCATATTCCCATCCAGAACTGGGTGCCCGGTTCTTAGAAAGACAGCCTCTTAAATTCCTCGCCATTTTTTCTAGTACACGCGCATGCGCAGACGTTTTTCTGCGATGTTGGATAACAGTATTATATGATGCATTTCTCCCAAGATGACCTGTGCAAGCGTCGTTTACGCAGACAGAAGAAAGCAAAGGAAGAAGCAAGGCATGACAACAAATGTAAATCTAAGATGACTTCTTTCACTGGGATTAAACAACCGCAAACTGAAAATGGTATGTTTACGCTATTATCATTCAAACCAGTTTCAACCGAATGAGTTTACAAGTACATATTCATGATATTCAATTTATGTAAACATATTAGACCGTGGGCCGTTGGCCAAAATTATTTCACTTCGTGGCAACCCTTTGGGGAATACATTTTCTGTGATTCAATGCGTAGTACCATGCATACTCGACTACCACAAAAAGTTCCGAAGCAAAAAACATGCCAAACACCGAGAAAATGGGTGAGCAGTGATTTTCCTCTATTAAATTGTATTACAGCAAGAAAATGTGAAATTTTCTGTTCAGTTACAACAAAAATGACTTGCATCATCAGAAAGCTTACAAAAAAACGCATATAAGACATTCAGACAGTTTTTTGATCCTTGAAATAGTCTTTGAGTTATTGCTGTTTTAAATGTGAAAATTGAACCAAAATGTCGCAAAAAGGACTGGGTACTAGGTCAAAAACCCGTTTTTGACAGCGTATTAGGCCGTTTGCTGCGTCCTGATATCGTTCACTTTCATTAAGCATGTCTTGGAACTGAAATATTTTTACGGAACTAACACTTTCAAGCACGCTGAGTTCGAATCCGAAAACTTCCCGCGCCGTAAACCCGCAGTTTTCTCACAAAATGCTATTTTATGTTCGCTAATTTCACTACAAAATTTTTCATTGTTCATCGACATGGATGGATGACGCCACACGATTATATCACTCAAGACGACCAATTTCTATTAACCAGTCTTCCTTTTAACAAAAGACCGGTTTTGCCCGAATTATTTTGAGTTATGTAATATTATGCGTGTTGCATGTAAACAACATATCTTGTCTACAACTTTGGGAAGGTACAGATAACGCCTTCTAAAATCCTCAGTTCTACCGATATCTCTGTAAAATCCCAAGGACATCAATGTTAAGTCTTTTGGCTATATCGCTGGCCTGAAAAATAACTAATTTAACACGATCAAGGTATTTAAAACAAAAGTAATGCGAAGCCAACGTAACGGCAAAGACAACGCTAAAGTGAAATATTGTCGATTGGTTGCTAGTAGAAGACTTTCGACAGGATGAATCTTATATAACCTTAAACTAGGGGAATAAATGTTCGTATCAAAGACAAAGAACAGTGCCAAGGTATAAAATCTGCTCTGTAACCTTACGACGAAGTTGAGAAATGTGTGCATAAGCTGTTTATTTGGTGATTTCAACGTATATGGCAGCCCTCTTTCCAATAATATTCGCTAATCGCACAGAATAACACCAACTGATATAATAGTTCAAATGCAATGAATTAAAATTATTATTATTATTATTTTTTGTTTCAATTCAATGTTTCCATCACGGTTAACGATTCCATACTTGATAGAATTGACTCCTTCAAATACTTAGGAGTTACAATTCATCAAAACTTAACCTGGTCAGAACATATCGACAACATCAGCAAGAAGTTTAATCAACGCCTTGATCTAATTCGCCGCATAAAATTCTTACTCCCTATTCAAGCCAGACTCACCCTCTACAACAGCCTAGTCCTCCCTCTGTTGGACTACAGTGATATCGTGTGGGGAGATAAAAACAACTCCACTCTAATGAACCACCTTCAAGTTCTGCAACATAACGCTGCGAGACTTATCCTTGATCTTCCTCGCCATTCCTCCGCTACCGAAGACCTTGAAACTCTAGAGTGGAAACCCCTTTACCTACGTCGAAAATACCACCGTCGTATCTCCGTCTTTAAATGTCTTAACCATCTAGTCGAATTTGATTTTAACCTTACCATAATCTCCCGTATACATAGCCATAAAACACGCAAGAATAAGAATTACTACCTTCCACGCCCACGTACGAATTGGGAGAAAACAGCAATTCACTTATCACTCGGTATCGGAATGGAACTCTTTACCTATTGAACTGAAACAATCTACTAATCTTAATCTCTTTAAATCCAAACTAAAACAATTTATCTAATTAAGTTGAACAATTTATCTAATTAAGTTGAGTTTTTTCTAACTATGAAGTATAATTATATATAATCCACTTGTAAATATTTTATAGTTTTTAAATAAGCATAGACGTATAGTTTACGAATACCATGTATAATATAGATATATATTACAGGACCTCCCTGAAAAACACTTCGGTGAGTGGAGCTTCCTGAATAAATATTATTATTATTATTATTAATGATAAGTTACCTCTTGAATTACATCTCAGAAACTGTGTTGGAAATGGAAATGCTGACCCGTTCCATAAGATTACCGTTTTACTTCGTTGTATAAAACATTTTGATCGCATGTAGGCCTAATGAATTATTTCTCATCCCAGAGACATAGCCCAACGACTTAACATTGACGTCCTTGTGATTTTATAGAGATATAGCCAGAACTGAGGATTTTACAAAGCGTTATCGGTACTTTCCCAAAGTTGTAGACAAGATATGCTGTTTATGTCCAACACGCTTAAAATTACATAACTCAAAATAATTCGAGCACAACCGGTCTTTTGTTCAATGTAGAGACTGGTTCATAGGAATTAGTCATTTTGAGTTAGCAATCGTGTGTCTTCATCCATCCATGTCGTTGAACAATGAAAAATTTTGTTGTGAAATTAGCGAAGATAAAATAGCAGTTTGTGAGAAAAGTGCGGGTCTACGGTGCGGGAAGTTTTCGGATTTGAACTCAGCGTGTTCGAAAGTGTTAGTTCTCATAAAAATATTTCAGTTCCAAGACATGCTTAATGAAAATCGTTTTCTAGGCACTTTTCGAGGTCACAGGAAACGGCCTATATAACTCGAAAACAATTTGAGATATAAAAAGCTGTTTAAATGTCTTATAGACCTTATTCATAAATCGTGACGGGGCCTCGTATCCTAGGATACGGGAACAAAACGCGGGAAAACAAGCGAAAACTGCTTGACAAGCCAAATTCAGATGCTATTGTGCCGACTTTAACGGCTTGTTTCTTGTTGCTTTTTACAATTTATAACAATTTGTGTGTGTATTTTAAGACTTTGTGCCCACAACGAAAGCGGTAAACGAGTATATTATAAAAGCGACCGGTTTTTCTCCCGTTTTTGTGTGAAAAAAATGACAACGTAGCGATGGTGTTTATCCAGAAGGGAAAAACAGTATTTTACTGAGATTTTAACGTCAATATAAAGGTTTATTCCGTAAAGAATCAAGACAACTATGGAATGGAAGTATAATTTTTCGAATTTGACATAAATATGAAAGAAAATAACAGTCAAAAATCACAAGAGAACGTCAAATGTTATTGATTCGTACGGAAAAATATGAACTATGACTGTGGCTCGATAACATTTTGCAAACAGCTTACAAGTTTAAAAAATGAAGGCTACATTACCTGAGTGAGTTGTAATCTTATTTCTTCAACAATTGTTTCATATTTCGTACGATTTTGGTGTTGTATAGACGTTTTGTAGCCTTGTTGGTTGTTTGTTTCGGCCATACAAACTACGACAATAATACAAAGTCAAAGGTTTCCTTTTTCGATTGACTCCAGCATCTTTTGCTTTAAATATCATGTTATATTTTCTCAGAAGTATTTTTTTTAACTTTCAAGCTCAGTTTTATACTATTATTTTCGAAAAAAGCCGTAATATTCACGAAAAAAGCCGGCCATAGCCGACAGCAAAAAAGCATTTTGTCAATTTTCCCGCGTTTTTCCCCGTTTCCTAGGATACGAGGCCTCATCACGATTTATGAATAAGGTCTATATCCAGTTTTTTGTAAGCTTTCCGATGATGCTAGTCATTTTTGTTGTAATTGAATACAAAATTTCACTCTTTTTTTTGCTGTAATACAATTTAATAGAGGATAATCACTGATCACCCATTTTCTCGGCGTTTGGCAAGTTTTTTGCTTGGGAACTTTTTGTGGTAATTGAGCATCTATGGTACTATGCATTGAAGCACAGAAAATGTATTCCCCAGGGAGTTGCCACAACGGCCGACGGCCTATATAGCAAATGCTTGACCCATGCTGAATTAATATAAACGAGTATGTTTATGACATTCAGTATATATTTCATAATTTCCAGTCTTAAATCCGTCTGACCGTGTAGCTCAGTAGGTAGAGCGTCGATCTAGTAATTCGAAGGTCGCGGGTTCGAGACCCAGCCGCGGCAGACAACATCTTTCTGCTTGCGCTGGGTATGGAAATTATATAATACACACTCTAGAACATTTTCATCTTATATATATATATATATATATATATATATATATATATATATATATATATATATATATATATATATATATATATATATATATATATATATATATATATATATATTTTAAGGAGGCTCCCTACAGTTCCGTGCTGGATGTTCGCGGGACAAGTACGCGAACTATCCCACGCAACTGCATGATCAAAACAAAACAAAAATTGACCATGCTTTTTTTAAAAATAAAGCTATTTCTGAAAGGTTTTTAGTGGAAAAAAGTGTTGAATAATACTTTGTTTTGAATGCCAAATCACTTGCGAGTCTACACAGCAATTCTACATATGATACGAATATCACTAGACCAAAAATAGCTACGAAACAACATTTTTTAATTTTTTTATACACTGTCAACTGACTCAACTGTAAAACATTTGCAAAATTGCATACAAACGTTTAAAAAGTTGTTTACTTCTCAAGAAAACGTTCACGTTTTTAGTCGAGTTTCTACAAGATTAAAGTGATTATATGTAAACAGAAAAATATTTCAGTTTCATAGCCTAATTGTTCATTTTTAGCAAAAAGTACAAAACCAAACATAAAACAAAAAAACACGTCCACCTGTTAATGGGCTGTTACAGCTCATAAATTGAGTAAACGGCAGGATTCAATTAGCTTCAACCTTGTTTTCATCGATTTAATCCTTCACAATAATCCTTGGCTGTCCATAACACTCAAATAAATCGAAAAGTTGACAAAAACAAGACAGTAAAAACAACATTGCGGCTCGATTTTGCTGAATGAAAACTCGTTCTGCGCCCGCGTACAATCTTTTACTAGTCAGCGACGCTTTTCAATAGGGGAATTTCTCGAGTTACACGAGGCTATTTTCTAACTTTATTTGCATTTTACTCATTAGTTTCATCGGTGACCTATCTTCAAATTTTGACCACGAATTTATTTTGCGGTAAATTTTATAAATTTCAAATTCTAAAAAAATTTGTAGTGTGGAAATTTCGCAATAAATTTTTCGCTTTTAAAAAAGCACACTACAGAATTTTTTTAAACTTTCACCACAGTTGCAGAGCATCATTCCTTATTGATATATGAAATAAAAAAGTTAGGTCACCGACATCGTTTTTGAGATAGCGGCACATTTATGGGTTAAATTGGAAGGCTTTATGCTGTCGTCATGTTGCCATGGGAACATTGACATCGTCGAAATCTAGTTCGAAATATTCCTTAGGTGACCAATATTTCCACCAAGTCGAAAAGAATTCGCGTTCTGCACGAATAAGCCTGTTTTACGGAATTATTGCTTAAACAAGAATAACTGTAGGGAGCCACCTTAAGATGAAAATGTTCTAGAGTGTGTATTATATAATTTCCATACCCAGCGCTTCCATATATATATATATATATATATATAGTTATATATATAATATACAGTTATATAATATATATATTATGATTGTACTCTCAGTTACTATAGAAACACCAAACTTGGACAGTGAGCAAGACTTTCCACAACAAGTCGCGTCCAGTCCTACTGTTTGGATTGCGTCATCTCCGCGCACCCAAGGACCGTGGTCTAATGCTGGAAGAGGTATAGCAGAGTGCACTGTGGTACAAAACTTGGTCAATATATAGCTGTAATCTGTCCTTCATCCCCGAGCCAACGGCGCCGAGCGCCGTTCCGGGCGTAAGCCCGGGGCGAGGGTACTAATTCTGCCCGGCTATTTACACCCGGGGAAACGAAAGCATTAGCGAAGTATAAAGTTTACAGCTCGATCTCTTCCGAAAATTAAGGCTATGTCTTAATTGTAAAAAGCGTTCAAATTAAGAGATTGCCTTAATTTTAAACCTATCCCCCCCCCCCCCCCCCCCCCCAACCGCTAATCCTAATCTAATCTTAGTTTAACCCTAATCCAACCCAAATCTGGCGACCTTTGTTTTTTATAAATAATGTTTTTTTTATAAATAATGTTTTTTATAAAATATGGCCGTTTCCCAGGAGTGAAGAAGGCAAAAAAATAAAAAATACATGATAGCTTGGAAAATCGTTTCACATAACAAATTGTAAAACGTTTTTACAATTTTTAAACGTAAACATTTATAAGAATTGATTTGGTGTGAGAAACCCTGAAGAATAGGGCAAATCTGTTCAATTGTTTATGCATGTATGACTTTGTGTTAATATAGACTTTGGTCGTGATGTTCAAATCTTTCCTATGCACTGTTTGCGAAAGTTTCTTAGTTAAATTAACTTTTGTAGAAGTTCATGATAAAGAGGAAAGCAAATTATTTTCAATAGTGCTCTGTACGAATTAAATTTATTTCATTTCAAAGTGCGAGTATTAATAAGTTGAAGCTCGACGAGTTGTAGAGTTCATAAATATCGGCAAAAAGCAGTTATTTTCAATTCACATTTAAAAACGTTTTACGTGGAGTTTTGTTTTGAATTTTACATCAAAATAAAGCCCATAGAAACCAAAATAATATACGTACTTTATATATTTTAGAAATTGATTGTTCTGTATTTAAAAGTGTTCAATTTTCATCTATTTTTTGCAGGTTTATACAAAAAATTAAAAAAACAATTGTCGTGTTGCCATGACTAACATGACGTGGCAACACGAGACTGCGTTCAGTGTTGGCGTAATTACGATTACTTTATGTTGAAACAATGTTGTTGTTTTTTTTATGTTTGGAGAATATAGGTGAGGGGTTGCGCATGCGCATGTATTTCCTGCATAGATATCCCGTATACAATTGTAAATCTTCCTTCTTAAGGTAACCGCAAATTGACTACTTAAATCACTTATGCATGGTTATAATTTTATATAAAAAATTGTTAATTATTTATAGAAATAGTTATTTTAGAATCCATTTCTGGAATATATTCTACAATCTATATAACAACTTTCCACTCCAACATTTCGCTGATAATTCAGCGCACTCAATGTTCACCCCGCCATTTTTGCAAAAACAACAAATGCTTTTTTTTCGCGCAAAGGATGACGGCATTTTTGAACGCTAATTACTCGATATTTTAAAATTAGTATTTTAAAGTTCAGTGTTGAAACAATGTTTGAAAATATAGGCGAGGGGTTGTTGCATGTATGTATTTCTAGTATTTACTGTATCTAAACTTATGAAGTTTAAGCTTATGGACAATATATACATGTAATATTCTGTGTTTTTTTTCCAAATACATGCAGATCAAGAGAATGTAGCTTTTGGCACTTCGTTTGCAAAGGTACTGAGGTTTTTTTACCGTAGACCCGCAGTTTTCTCACAAAATGCTATTTTATCTTCACGAATTTCACAGCAATTTTTTTCATTGTTTAACGACACGGATCGATGACGATACACGATTATGTCACTCAAAAGGACCAATTTCTATTAACCATTCTTCCTTTTAACAAAAGACCGGTTTTGCTCGAATCATTTGGAGTTTTGCAATCTTATGCGTGTTGGACTTAAACAACATATCTTGTCTACAACTTTGAGAAGGTACAGATAATTCCTTCTAATATCCTTAGTTCTAGATATATCTCTGTAAAATCACATGGACGTTAAGTAATATTTCAAATCCGTGTTAGTGTTTTAGACGTGGTTTCTAAATACAAGTGCCATGAACAATTGCGAGGCGCAGCCGAGCTATTGTTCATGGCACTGGGGATTTGGAAGCCAAGTTTAAAAGACTAACGAGGATTTGAAATTGCTTCTCACGCATCATTAGATATTCATAGCAATGAGGCATGAAATTATTAGATATTCAAAAAAGTGAGCGTGGGCATTAACGATTACATTCGCTTGAAAGTTTGCATGAAGTGTGACGAAGCATTCATGCAGTTCGCTTTCGTCATGAATAGATGAATTTTGTTGGCAAAATAGCATGGCATCTTCTTGCAAGAAAAAGAGAACCGGGAAGTGTTGAGCAAATGCAGTATTGAAAATGTAAAGAAAGCCACTCACTGACACCAACAATCTGATATATCCGATCTCCATCCTTGCGATATGGCGCTATATCTGGTGGAAAATGGAAGAGTCGCGAAGCGAATATATTAGACGGTAAACATTACTGATAAGTTGCTGTATTATTGCTGTAGTGTTTAATTAAAGCGCTGTTTATTATGATAGTTGGTTAAAAAATCGTAATTTTCCTTTTCGTATATTTATGTAGTTTTCAAACGTTCGGAAAAAGTGTTAGATATAAAGTGTAGTTAGAGAAATAATTCTAAACATAGCAATTAAATATATTTGCATAATCTTTTGTTTACCCCCTTGATTTCCCTATTGTTCAAAGCCCTTCTCACTTGAAGTAATTAAAGTCCTGGTCTAGACGGGGTATCCAGATATATACACGTGATGTAAATTATACCATGTCATTTGCCGAAAAGCTATGAATATCTAATGATGTGTGGGAATGTTAAGTCTTTGGGCTATGTCTCTGGGCTGAGAAGTAATTCCTTACATGCGATCAAAATGTTTTATACAAAGATGTAAACGGTAATCGATATGTAATGGATCAGCATTTAAGTTTCCAACACAGTTTCCGAGACGTAATTCAAGAGATAACTTATCATTGCATTTGAACATTACATCAGTTGGTGTTACTTAGGCTTCCGTATACGTTGATATCACTAAATAAACAGCTCATGTACACATTTCTCCACTTCGTCGTAAGTTTACAGAGCATATTTTATACTTTGGGACAGATCTTTGTCTTTGATGTGACCATTTATTCTTATAGTTTAAGGTTATTTATGATTGATCCTGTCGTATAAGTGTTCTACCAGCAACCTATCGACAATATTTCATTTTAGCGTTGTCTTTGCCGTTACATTTGTTTTAAATACCTTGATCGCATTAAAAGAGTTATTTTTCAGGCCAGTGACATAGCCAAAAAACTTCGCATTAATGTCCTTGTGATTTTACATGTTGTTTACGTCCAACACGCATAAGATTGCATAACTCAAAATGATTCGAGCAAAACCAGTCTTTTGTTAAAAGAAGACTGGTTAATAGAAGACTGGTCCTGTTGAGTGACATATTCGTGTATCCTCGTCGATCCGTGTCGTTGAACAATGAAAAATTCGTCGTGAAATTATTGTGAGAAAACTGCGGGTCTACGGAGTGGGAACTTTTCGAATTTGAACTCAGCGTGTTCGAAAGTGTTAGTTTCCGTAAAAATATTTCAGATCTAAGACATGCTTAATGAAAGTGAACGATATCTGAGTCACAACACACGGACTAGTAGTCTCATATGTGTTTTAACATGCGCATTATTGATTCTCTTAGGCATTATCCTCTGGTAAACCAACACCTTCGAAATTGCTTGTTCAGAAAGTGAGGACACAGTCTGAAGGTGAGTAGTTTTTATATCCTGGATTGCTCTATCAATTTTTAATGTCTCCCCCTAGGGGTCCAGTGACACAGGTTAGTAAGAGCCATGCTTCATTGACACAGTATTGGCACAGGTGTAAGCCTAGACAATGGTGACCTACAATCTTTGCCAGAAACTATGGAGCATCTTCTGTAATTTCATATAATAGCGCCCCCGTTCCCCCAGTTCATTGTTGGGCCAACAAAAATCTGATGTCTGTTTGCGAGGCGCCAACATTGAAACGAATGGGGGGAGGGAGGGTCGAAAAAATGTATCCGGAAATGATATATTACAACCGAATGCATGTGAAAACTGGATTGTCCCGCACAATCTATATTGTCAAAAATTGTAGCTTTATTTATACCGGATTGCTTTATATTTTTAATTGTTATCCCTTGAGAACAACCCAGGAGCACCAACAACCACCTATAACCAACACCGCGGGAAAACGTCTGCGCATGCGTCAACGTTACTGAAATCTGTTTGCGAACGTGGTGTCAAGTGTTCTGAAGGTTGTCAAAAACTCAAAATGGAAACGACTTCGATGTTTTGCCTTTTCTGTGAAAATGCTAGCGGAATAATGAATGCATGTGATAACCTAAAAACTAGGAATAACTACAGTCTACATGCGCAAGAAGTAGTGTTATGCAAGAAAATAAACCAAAGGTGACTGTCGATAAATTTATTATGATCCACATTTTTGTCAATAACTTTTTTTGCGTAGCATGTATAATTTTTGCGTTGACTATATTTAAGGGTAATGATTTACTCCAGAATTTAATCGTGTGCAAATCGGCCTAACTGTTCTATAGTTTTCTTAACTTTTCTGTTTTAAGTTCGATATTCGACAATTTTTCAAGAAATGTTCACACTCCTCCCGGTCTATAAATAGTAATTTTTAATTTAAATTCTGTTTCTTTTTAGATTTTAATGTTAATAACTTTTATTCATGTCTAAACAACCCGTCTAGTGTATTTTTTTGTTTGTTCAATTACCTTAAATCATTAAATAGCTATGTTTTTGTTTATTATTTGGCGTTTAAATTCTTCGCCATTGTGCACGCGCATGCGCAGACTTTTCCGCGGTGTTCCTATAACCCCCTTAGTGACACCATTAATTTGGTCTGATATACTTAGTTTACAATTGACTTCATACATTGGACACCATTATTTGGTCTGATATTCTTATGGCCTGTTCATATGGGCAAAAGTTATCCCGGTTAACGAGAACATTTTTCGACTAGCCAAATACTTTTGTTCTGTTGATATGGAGAAACGTTATCCCGCTTACCGGGTAGAATTTCCGGCTGTGACGTAGCACTGACCATCAATTGAATTGAAAAGTTGCTGACACGGCAGAAAGTTGTGTTCATATGGGGAAAACATTATCCCGGTACACGGGAAAACTTTTTGTCTCGTATGAACGCAGTGTAACGTTTCATATTATTTTCATACCAAGGCGAGATCTCGCTTGTAAACTTGTCGAAAAGTTTTTTCGCTAACCGGGATAACTTTTGCCCATATGAACAGGCCCTTAGTTTAAAATTGACTTCACACATTGGAGCATTGGACTAGTATCCCAAAGGTCGTGTATTCGATTCCCATCGTGGTCAGGCAGGCCTCGAAATAAGTGCCGGTCACTGACCGGTAAAATTTCACAGTTTGACCGGCAAATATCGTCACCTTGGCGGACATGCGTGACCGGTAAATTTTTTAATAAAAATTACGTTCAAAAATGGAGCAGATTTTTGATTTACAACTTTCCAAAGAAGTATATGTCCGTTTACAGTGCAGGCAAGTAAGGGCGGGAAGTGACACATTTTGTCGTACAGATAGATATACCGCAAGCGTTGTGCCTAAGGGCTGTTTTCCAGTTACGCGTTTTTCACACGTGCGACGGAAGAGTTTAAATCTTTTAAAATTTCATATAAATGCAAATATAACCTTAATAAATACGCATTAAATCATACACAAAACTGAATGCTGTCCTTTTATCAATTTTGTTATTTCATAAGTTGTAAAGCAATTTCAACTTTTACGTGCGTGTACGCACGTATGAAAAACGTGTAACTGGAATGCAGCCTTAAGGAGGCTCCCTACAGTTGCGTGCGGGATGTTCGCGGGACCAGTACGTGAACTATCCCACGCAACCGCATGATCAAAACAAAACAAAATATTTTTTTTTTAAAAAAGCTATTTCTGAAAGGTTTCTAATGGGAAAAAGCGTTGAATAATACTTCGTTTTGAGTGCCAAATTACTTGCGAGTCTATACAGCAATTCTACATATGATACGAATACCACTAGACCAAAAATAGCTACGAAACAATGTTTTTTAATGTTTTTAAAATATACATTGTCAACTGTAAAACATTTGCAAAATTGCATACAAACGTGTAAAAAGTTGTTTACTTCTCAAGAAAACGTTCACGTTTT